CAGCCACTGGAGGGGCACAGATGACTCCAGAGCTAGCAGAGAACCTCCAACGGGGCCCTGCCGACCCTCAGAGTCAACAAGGACCTCCAGATTCCTACCTTCCTGATCTCTTCTCTGATATCCTCTCTTGGCAAGGCAACTCCACTAAGGGAGGCAGAGGGATCATTGGATATAGTGGGGACAGGATTTTGTTTAACCGTCTTCTCGGCACCGTTGCTCCAGCCTCCCGCTGTACCTGCTGGCGGCCGGCCGGCGCCACAGCAGCCTCTGGCAAAGCAGTTTAAGCACCCCCGGATTTGCGGCCAACAGATCACTGAGTCGAAGGATGTCATGAAAGGCTCCAAATATATGAAAATATAAAGTAGCCGACATTGTTTTTGGAAAGAACATTTTGTGAGGTGCGGAGGAAGTGATTGTGAAATTAAATAGTAATATGGTAACAATTTGGTGAAACTTTAAACTTATAAAACTGTTCTAAAGAAAACAGTTCATATCTGTTTAGCTTGGTTGGTATACTACTACCTAGAATGGGCACTGTATTTAAAAAAAAAAAACAAAAAACAAAGACTAATGGCACTCAAGGCCACTGTTAGAGAAACAGTGAAACTCCCACTTACTGCAGAAGATTCCTGCCACTCTTCGGTCTTCCACAGGTATCCCAAACCGAGACAGAAAAGTTTTAACATCTCTTGAACAATTACTAATATGTTAGAAACTTTACTCATTTAATTCAACCTTAATAATTACTAAGATAGGCCGGGCGGAGTGGCTCACGCACATAATCCTAGCACTTTGGGGGGCCGAGGCGGGAGGGCGGCTTGAGACCAGGAGTTTGAGACCAGCCTGAGCAAGAGTGAGACTCACATTTCTATAAAAATTAAACACTTAGCCATGCATGGTGGTATCATGTGCCTATAGTCCCAGCTACCCGGGAGGCTGAGGCAGAAGGATTGCTCGAGCCCAGGAGTTTGAGGTTGCTGTGAGCTATGATGATGCCACCGCACTGCAGCCCGGGCAACGGAGCAAGACCCTGCCTCAAAAATACAACAAAAAATTACTAAGACAACCTCATGAGATAGGTGTTATTCTCCCATTTAGAGTTGGAAAAATCAAGACATGGAGAACACAAGTAACTTACCAAGCCTCTTATGGTAATTAACACAGACCTGGTATTCTAACTAATATAAGTAACTCCAGATGCTGGCTCTGCACCATTTTTCTATTACTTCTAACATTAGCCCCTGTCTTCTGACCCTCTCCTTTTGGTCTTCTGCCAGGTATTAGAGACCCAATAATTCAAAAGTGATTGTCAGTCCTAATTTTTTTTTTTTTTTTTTTGAGATAAGGTCTTACTCTGTGTCACTCAGGCTGGAGTGCAGTGGTGTCATCATAGCCTACTATACCTCAAACTCCTGGGCTCAAACAATCCACCCAAATAGCTGGGACTACAGGTGCATGCTGCCACACCCAGCTAATTTTCTATTTTTTGTAGAAATGGGGTCTCACCATGTTGCTCAGACTGGTCTGGAACTTCTGGCTTCAAGCAATCCTCTTGCCTCAGCCTCCCAAATTACTCAATTACAGGTGTGAGCCACTGCACCTGGTTGGTGTATATTTAGTGTATATTTTCAAACAGTAATTTTAAATTTTTTCTTTTCAACTTAATCTTGGCACTAATTTCTAAAATTACTTTTGATCTCTAAAACTGTAATCAAATCTGCAAACATAAAAACCCGAGTCACCAAGGAAAGAATGACTAACAAAATTTTATTAAACTTAATAATTGCTCCTTTATCCACATGATGGCCCTTTTCTCTCCCACTTCTTGCAAGGCCTTCCAGAACTCCTTCTCAAAGCCAAGGAAGTGCCAAGGGATGTGAAAAAATGACAGTCTAGAGCAGCCATTCCCAACCTTTTGGACACCAGGGACCAGTTTTATGGAAGACAATTTTTCCATGCACCAGGGAAGGGGAGATGATTTCGGGATGATTCGAGCACATTACATTTATTGTGCAAACCTCTCTGCTAATGATAATCTGTATTTGCAGCTGCTCCCCACTGCTAGTATCACCACCTCAGCTCCACCTCAGATCACACATTAGATTCACTTAAGGAGCTCACAACCTAGATCCCCTGCATTTGTAGTTTACAGTAGGGTTTGAGCTCCTATGAGAATCTAATGCACTTGCTGATCTGACAGGAGGCAGAGCTCAGGTGGTGATGGGGAGTGGCAGTAAATGCAGATGAAGCTTTGCTAGCCCTGCTGCTCACCTCCTGCTGTGTGGCCCAGTTCCTAATAGGCCATGGACCAGGACCAGTCCTCGGCCCAAGTGTTGGGGATTGCAGGTCTAGAGCATTTCTCGGTGGGTTTAGGTGTTCACTGAGTAAAACATGATTTGCAGGGAGGGGGTGTGGGTGATATGTTTCTTGAAAGTTAGCTTAATTTTTGTAACCTGATCCAATAGCTTTTTCATCATGCCTTTTAATATTCGATGCACAAAAAAGATGCAGGCCAATAGTCAATTTCCATGAGTTCAAAAAAATGAATGCAAAAGACAGAATTTATTGTTAAAATTTAATATACAATAATTTACTTGACAAAGCTTTACATATAAACTGTGTGATGTATGTGTTCATGTGTAATTTAACTTTAATCTTGTCCTGGGGGTAAGTTAGATAGCATCTGAAGCACCCCATCAGGTGGCTAGGCAGATGCTTGAAACACTGCCATCTGAATCCACACACTAGAGTGTTCGTTAGCAGAAGGGATGTTAGTAATTTTTCATTGGTAAATGCAGCCTGAAAAGTGGCTGCCTGGAAAGATTTTTAGAGGCAAAATGAAATGAGGTATAAGGATCTGGCAGATCCTGAGACCTAGTATCTTTTTTTTTTGTTTTTTTCTGAGACAGGGTCTTGCTTTATTGCCCAGGCTAGAGTGCAGTGGTATCATCACAGCTCACAGCGACCTCAAACTCCTAGGATCAAGAAATCTTCCTGCCTCAGCCTCCTAGGAAGCTGTGACTATAGGTGTGCACCACCACGCCCAGCTAATTTTTCTGGTTTTTTTTTTTTTTTTTTTGGTAGAAACAGGGTCTTGCTATGTTGCCCAGGGTTAACTCCTGGCCTCAAGCGATCCTCCCGCTTCAGCCTCCCAAAGTGCTAGGATTACAGGCATGAGCCACCATACCTGGCCAAGCTAATAGCGTTTGATTTGTATCCCAGGTCTGGAGCTCTCCTTGCTCCTATACTCGCTTGCTACCCCTGCCATACAGGTTTAAGACTCTGTTGCTTGGGCCAGATAATTAGGTTACCTAATTCTGCTTTTGGAAATATCACTGCTTCTGCTTTACTGTGAATCTTTTAATCAAAGTATTCATGGGATTACTTATGAGTAGAGAAAGAACTTCCCAAAACTTTCCAGAATCCCTGCTTGCTAATAAACTTGTCATGTGAGAAAATTGTTTTAGATTTGCTTTTATTGTAACACACCACCGGGTAGTGAAGTTGTGCAGGAGAACATATATTCCCTTCCTGTAATAGCTGGAGGTCACCACCAAATAGATCTGTGATTGGTGAATGACTAGATTGGCCTATATAGTCTGCGATGATGTAGAAGGGAAAGTAAAAGCCCATTTACTCTCATTTCATGGGGAGGGTCAGATGTAATCCCTAAGCACTCCTGGTAACACAGTGCCAATACTGAAGATCTCCTTAAGGTCAGCAAATGAATACAGATTTTCAAGTGCTTGATAAAGCAAAGTCAGCTATTGTAAAGGTCAAGGTCATTCTCTGGCAATGTTGCTCTTAACAAAATATAGTCAAGAATTTTATACCACTTCTAATTAAAACTTGCTTACCTAGAAGGCCTTCAGTTTGCTAATGAATGCCTAAGTTAAAAAATAAAAAGGAAAAAAAGGAAAACGTAACCAAAAGAGAACTATTGCTCTAAATTTTAAATAAACCTATTCAATAGGAAGTTGGGAAAATGCCACTGAGGTTAAATGAAGGACAATTTGAGAACTCAAGTTACAACATATGAGAAACCTAAAAGTAAAACTATGTCAAACATTTTATTTGATGTTTCATGCTAGGTTGATTTTACACAAATAAAACAACTTTGTTGAACATTTTTTTTAATATAATGACTGTGTACATGGACAACTGAGAATAGAGAAAAGGCCCAAATTAATGTTTTAACAAATTACAAGCTCTTACTAAAGACCATATGCTTGAATTTTAAAAAAATAATCCAATAGATGAGTATCTCTCATTCAATCTAACAGATTAACCAATCCTTCTTTTAATAAAACCAACACATTATAATGGTATAAATTTATCTTTCTCAACGATCCACATAAAAACATGTGTTCCCTCTTCTATATGTAATCATTAGTAGTCTCTAAAATGGCAAAATAAAATTGAATTTATATTAGCAAATGAAAGTGCAAGTTTGTACAGCTAGGCTCAGCAGCAAAAGTGGAGAACAAGAATGAAAGGTGAAGAGCTGATGGATGCTTTGCAGAAAGAGGACTTCTATGAAGGTCCGTGTCCTGTGCACCAAACACAGTCAACATTCCATCATTTTTTCATTGCTCTTAAACGAGCAAAACCAAATTCTTTTTTTATTTAAAGAAATATTAAATCTTTATTCCCCCCCCACACACACACATAATTTGTGATCAGGTAAGGCAAAGATAAGTCCCACCATCACTGGGGACAGCAGCAACATACAGACGTCAGAAATAGCCCTGAATCATCAGCAACATTCTCTCATGGTAACATTAGCAGGAATGCATCTAAGAAATCAAATTTGCAATGTCGTCACATTGTTCTAATTTATTTGATTAGTTCGTCTGGAAAAGCTTTATAAATACATTATTTAAGAGGACAGTAAATTATTTCCTTGCTCTGAAAAATAATGTCTTTTCACATTTTATTTATTTATTTATTTATTTATTTATTTTTTTTTGGGAGATAGATTTCACAGAATCTTTTCACATTTTAAAACTCTTTCGTGTATGTTTGCAAAAGGAATTGCAAGAAGACTGTGACAGCTGGGTTTGCAGAATGTCCATGTACAAGTTGCATTTATAAGAACCTGGTAATCTGCCTATAACTTGCTTCTACAAATAGAGCTCTTTGCAATAATATTTAAACAAAACAGGCTCAAACACCTCCCCTATTCATTCTACTTGTAGAGCAAAGAGGTACTTATTTTTCAAGTATTATATTGTCAAAGGTAATTTTTTTTTTTGCCAATTTTATATGTTAAGCTTAAGACCAAAATATCTATCTGAAAAAAATCATGCCTAGTCAGCCCATTTCTTTTATAGTCGTCAAATGCTCCTGTCTTTTAAAGAATGCAGAAAAATATTGATTTGCTAAGAAGGAGCACACCAGAAAAAGCTGTTTTAAAGGATTGGAAAATGAGGAGCATTTCTTTCTTTCCGTTGATGAAAATTATTAGAAAAGCTCCCCAGTCTGTTGTCTTCAGCTGGTTTTAATAAATTCTTTTTAAAACGAGGGTCAAGACATCTTTAGAAAACTGGAGGAGGGGAGATGCTCCTTGACAGCTTTGGTTCTTCAGAAGAAATGCTCATATCACTTCTATATGGAGAGAGGAAAAATATAGATTAATATGACATTTACCTAACATCTTAAAGGATACTATAGTAATGTCTTACATTTCTAAAATACTACCATGCTGTTATATATGTTGGCTTACATAAGAATAGGCAATTTTGTCACTAGAAACAGGAAAAAAAATAGGCAACTTTGTTAGGATTCACCACCTTACATTTAAGTGAATTCTGCTATTAACAGGAAAATACATGCCCTTTTCTTTACTTCAATTTAGGCTATATCATTTACTTTTCCAAACTGTATACATAGATTGTACTTGGAAGTCAGGAATTCAAACATTCATTTCTCCTGTATCCTCAGTACCCAAAGCTTAGAGCTCCAAATATATGTTAGAGGTTAAAAATAAGTATTTGTTGATAAAATAGTCATGACCCCAAAAGAACACTTATACTACACAAGATCAAAGATACTGGACTGTTTTTCCCAGGAAAAGTATGGAAGGGTAGGAACAGTGAGAATGGAATGATAGGTAACTCAAAAAAGGTGATTCGAAGCTTGGCAAGTGAAGCAGAAAATCATTTGGAAGGTCTTTCCCTCCCTGTGAATCTGTGACACGACAAAGTAGGAAGCTGCACGGGGCATGTTTCCACCAAAGTTGGTCAGACTGTTCCCAAAGGCTTAAGAATCCGAAAGTCTGGCCAGGGGAAGGACCTTACAACTTCCTTTCACAGCCTAGAAAAGCAGACTTCACTAAAGTGAAGTTCCACTCCCAAGGTCAGGAAACTAGCAGAGAAAAGAAGAGTAGCTTCATTTGGATGGGTGGTTCCCAGTTGCTTTTTCACCTCATTAAAGGTCTATCTGTTACAGGCTCACAGATGGAATCCAAATGGCAAAACAATTGGACCACAAATAATTCTATACTAACTCTATTTAAATACTCTGGATTTGGCTGGGTCTGTTCATAATCGTATAAAGAGATGCTGGTCAATACATGAAAGTGAACTGCTGGGAAGAGAAATTGACAAAATTTAAAAGGTTTGAAAAGAGAGGGAGCTGGGATTATCCCACTTATTCTTGAGACTGCTGGGATTGCACTGCTGAGCGGCTAAGACCATTGAGTTAGTACTATTTGAAGTTACTCATTTCTTTGGGTCCTGGGAAGCTATTGTTCTTTTTGCACAAAGATTTCAGGTCAAGTGTGAGGCAGAGAGACAGTGTGTAAGAGTCACAGGCAGTTTTAACAGCAACTTCAGTCACTCCTTGGACTCAGTGTGATCCTAGAGTCCTCACCTCATTACTTAAATCGTAACAATCCATTACACTTCAAAGGATAGTGATATATTTAGGTCATTAAATATGAAATGTCCGACTTCGAATCAAAGTGTAGTTTGTTATATCTCAAACAGGAAGCAGTACAATTAATCAAAGTGTGCACCTAAACTATCAACACAGTTTTGCCATTTTAATGGTAGTTTCTTTATGCCAGCAGTGAAGAAGCCTGGAGAGTGAGTGGCAATGAAATCATGAAAGGTATTTTCCATAGCTTGTTGAGAATGGAATATTTTTCCTTGCAAGAACTGGTCTAAAGCCTAGAAGAAGTGGGAGTCAGTTGGTGCAAGGTCTGGTGAATATGGTGGATGACAGAGAGTTTCCAAGCCCAGCCTCTGTAGTTTGAGCAGTGTTGTTTGTGAGTTGTTTGTGGTCGAGCATTGTCTTGTAAGAGGATTGGCCTGTCTCTGTTGACCAATCTCGGCCGATTAATAGCGAGCATCCTCATTTCATCCAACTGATTGCAGTAGACATCTGCTGTAATGGATTGACCAGGTTTCTTGAAGCTGTAGTGGATAATACGAGGTGTCTGGACCACCAAACATACACCATTAGCTTTTTTGGATGAATATTTGGTTTTGGACTGTGTTTCGGCAGTTCATCTTTATCCAACCATTGTGCTGAATCCTTGCAATTGTCAAAAAGAATCAATTTTTCATCACATGTAACAATACAGTGTAGGAATGTTTGCCTTTATGTCATAACAGCAAAGAAAGACAAGCTTTGAGACAATTTCTTTTCTGAGGCTTAATTCATGTGGAGCCCATCTTTCCAGCTTCTTCACCTTGCCAATTTGTTTCAGGTGGTTCGACACTGTTGCAATAGTAACGTCAAACCTTGCTGCTAATTCACGTGTAGGTTGAGATGGATTCGCTTCCACTACAGCTTTCAGCTCATCATTATCCACCTAGGTCTCAGTTTGCCCAAGTAGCTCATTTTCAAGATGAAAGTCACCAGAATGGAACTTCCCAAACCACTGACGTACTGTGCATTCATTAGCCACATCCTTCCCAAACACTCCGTTGATATTTTGAGCTGCACTGGTTGCATGATAGAACTCATATTCAAAAATAACACAAATTTTTGAACTATCCATAGTTTTACAAAAATTGCTCTAAAAAAAATTTGAAAAATAATCATAAGCCAAAACATGCATTTGAAAGACTGAGGATATACCTTCACAATAAAAATAAAACAAGAAATGTGAGAGTGAAATGTCAGAGATAGCAACTGTCAAACTTAGTACATAAGGAAGTCAGACATTTCATACTTAATAGCCTAATATTACCCAGGTTTCCCAACTCAAATAAGAGAAAAAGGGTGGGTGAACATGATGGCAGTCTTCAAGTATCTGAAGAACTGAGAAAGATGGAAAAAACCCAGACCTTTCTCCATCAGACAGGAGTAGGCTCGATGGGAATGGTCGGGAAGTCAGGGGCAGGCAGCTGTGTCCTATGATGAAGCACATTCTGCCAGCGAGTGCTGCTGAGCAGTGAGTGCCGCTCTGCGGGGAGAGGCTGATGGACACCCACTGGGTGCTGCAAGACTGGATTTTCTGCACTGAGTGGGAGAATGGGAGGTTGCCTAATCCAACTCAAAATTCCATTTCTATGAGTCAGGCACAATGTTTTCCATTGTGGCTTACCTGGTCCCTTAAAGGACAAAGCGTGACCACTGTCACTCTACAAAAAGTAGCAGTTCATTCCCTCTTGGGAGTCACACATTTCTGATGCTTACATGAAGGAAATTGGGGCAAGCTTACCTGCGGTCTGTTGGGTTTGAACACCATCTACCTGAGGCAGGGGCCCAAGTGTCCCTTCATCATCAAAGGCCAAAATTGGATTCAAAGGAATTTCTGGGCTCTCACTGTTGGTGACATCTAACCTGGATGCTTTAGATCCAATGGGCAAGTTTATAATTTCTTCAAAATTTTCATTCTGAACAGATACTCCATTTTCATTTGGTTGTTTTTCCAAATTGGGAGTGCTGAGGAATTTGAAAAATCAAAATTAAAATGAATTAGCATTAAAACTGGAACACAATTTTAGGACAACCAAAAATATCTTTTATTAATCATACAATCAAATATTTACAATAAAAAAGGTAGAAAGATGAACTATATCATTAGTAAAAATAGTGAATTGTGATATTTGTATGTTAAATTCTTATTTAAGAAAAAGTCTGTGCTTTTGTCATAAAATTTATCAAAGAGAAAAATTTATCAATTAGACCATATCATCAGCAACCGAAATAAATCACTAGCAGCAGTTCTACACATTTAACAATTTCTGCTATGAGCATTTTTACATTCATTCATCTGATAAAGAATAACACTTATGAGAACCTTTTTTCAAAGGTCCCAGGATTATAATTCAGAGAGGCAGAGTAAATGAATTGCACAAAGTTACATAACTACTGACAGATATTCAAGACTCTTGATCTCTAGTCTTGTGTTTTTCTCATTAAGCCATTTTGTACACTCCCTAGCTATTCAAATTCTAGCACTTCCTGGATATCTCCTGCCTCCCCAAGCACTTGCATAATTCCATATGTAAATTGCTCAAGACCAATCTTCTTTGCCTCTTAAATCTGCCTCTAACCCTATCTTGACCTTTATTAAGTCATGCTTAATATCTTGGATTTATTTTTGAGATAGGTTTAACTGGCCATCAAATCCTTACGTTTCTTTCTATAGTTTCTCTTAGATTCTCACTCTGTCCAAATTGGCAGTCCTTTATATTATATGCTTATTATTATGCTTTTCAATGTAGCAGAATAATGCATATGTGTAATAATGCCAGGTGGAGGCCGGCTGTTGTAAGTCTGCATGAGAGTGCAGTTGCACACATGTGCCCAGGCAACACACATATGCACTTGTGTACATATATACACCCAGCACCTGCTGTTCTAAGTGTCTGCCATACCCTCCTGTTCTCGCCTAACACCATGGGCTTTCTGTAACCAGGGAAATAGTTTGGGTTCTCAAGCCAAAGAGAAATTAAGTAGAAATTGTGGCAAAGGATAAAGAACAGGAAATGTATCCCTGAAGTCCTGTCTCCCTGGCAATTGTAACTCCCATCACCTTCCAGGCCTGCATGTGCTAACAAGTCATAATGGCAATGGCCAGCCCCAGGCTTGAGTCAGTATCTGCCTTCATCTTCCACTCCCCACCCCCACCCATGCTGTTGGCAATTAGAGGAATAATCATTTCATATGCTTTGGATGACCAGTCATTAAATGTTCAGGGGGCACTGTGACTGGCAGAAACTATAAAACTGAAATTGAAGTCACTGGGGTTAGGGTTATGGATTCCACTGTCCTATCTCTTAAGGTAAGGGCACCAGCTTTTGAATTCCCTTTCTCTGGCTACCCTCTGCAGGTTGAAGGCTGGATGCAATGCTTTCGAAGACCGAGTGTTTTGCTTGGTCACTCCAAAATGTGTACAGGGAGAGGATGGGCCATGGTGGGAATCTAACAGTTTAGTTTGCTCAGCTTATCAGAGCCAGGACTTTATTTTTTCTTGCTGTTATTAATTATGTTATAACAAGTAACTTTTAAATTAAAAGTGACACATCTCTTCCTATCTGAATGATAGAGGCTTGGGAGTGTTACTTTTCCTTTAGGCAAAACTGACAGCAATGATGAAATCATAAGATTTGGAGGAAAAAGACTGGGCCGAACAACAAAATTACTAAAAATCCCTTATTTAAGAGAAGAGGAGCAGTCTATTGAAGAGAAAGTCCCCTAGGGCTATGAAAAAGCACATAATGTCTTCTGGGGCATTTGAAGGGTAAGATAGTAGCCTGTATACCCCACAGAGCTTTTTAGCTTCTAGAATAGAGATGCTCAGCTGGGGCTGGAAGAACATATCAGAATGACCTGAGAAACTGAAAATTATCTCCTCCGCTCCCAATCTGATATTCACCCCCGTCTTCCCAACTTGTACTCATACACTTATCTGTATGCTTTGTTTCCTGTTCCAAAGCAAGTTTCTTACCCATGAATAAATATTCTCCTCAATTCTATAGGAGCTTCTGTCTGCAATGGCTTTGGAGATCCACTCACTCAAGGTCATAATACTGTATTCATATATTAATATTTCATAAATATGTTTTTCAAGTATTTTATAAATTTCATATATTTTACATAAAAAATTTATATACTTGTTTTATAAAATTACTTCATAAAATTCATATACATCTTTACATATTTAAAAGCTGGCCAGAATTTTGACAACTCATACCCACCTTTCATTCTAACTACTGTCAGTGAGGAAAGGAGATCAACAAAGAGAAGGGTTTTGGGACAGATGTCTCATCAGGAGCAAGGTAAGGTTAGAAGTAGGGTGCAGGATGTTTCTGGTGCGGGGTTTCTCATAAGAGGCCTTAGTCCCAGCTGCTAGGAAAAGCGATGTTAAGAGGACACCATCCTCCTGGGGTGCTGCTGGACAGTTTGCTGACACCTTTCTAAGGGTGGGGAGGGGCAAGTGTAATCCAGTTCATGACATTCATGTATTTTCCTTAAGAAAAGGCAAACCAACATATTAGGTACTTAAGACGTTAGGAAAAGTGATACTTCTTCCAATCTGAACTAAAGATAGTCATTCTGATGAGTGGGGTTTTCTAGTGAAAACAAACTCTGCTACCATGCGTAGGGGGTTTGTCACGGTGGAGTTTCACAGAGTATAACTCACATCAAGTTCTTCAGAAGGGACCCTGGAAACTGTCTTAGGGATGGATATTAAAAATAAGAATAAGCAAGTCCTTTTCTAGATGTAAGAGTTTAAGTGGCAGAGAGCCCCAGGGCTCAGTGCTAGGACTAGTTTTATAATAGCTAGCCAATAAGTAGGATAAAAATTTAAGAATGCAGATTATGTTTGTTCTTGGAAATGCAAGTCATAAAAATGGTCCCATGAGGATAATAGGGGAAACCATTAAATGAGTGAAAAAGTAGGCAATCTTTAAAAGCAGTGGGTTTAGAAAACTGTAAACTAAACCATCCTTAAAAGACTGAGAACTATCAGTCACTATGAAAGTAAGACATCTTGGAATCACTGTTGTAAACTGTTTCTCATTGACATTGACCCTTTATGTTTTGCTGGGTAAAAAAAGCCACTAAAATGGTATGTGTGAGAAGAGAGGACACCAGGAACATAACAGCATTTTTTTTCTACACCACACTGCAGCTGCACCCAGGATACTGTGTGTCTTCTGGACACTGCATTTTAGGAAGACAAAGGTAAAGACATCTAACATTTGTACGGTACAACACAGTTTTCAGAGCTCCTTCACAGACACCATTTCACTGGCATCCCCAATACTTTGTGGGAAAAATATCTCCATGTCCACATGAGAAAACTAAGGCTCAATTAAGAAGGTTAATCCCAGAGTTGCTGAACTTCTCAGGGGTAAAACTCAGCTTGGGATTTTTGGTTGTAAAGCTCTTTTTCCTCAACCCCACACTCATGCTGAAGAATCTCTTAAAGAAATGACTAAAATGAGCAAACACTAGTAGCCTTTTAAAGATAAGGTAAATGCATCTGTTGATTTACTGCCTTTCAGCTCCAAATTCACCCTTCATTCCTGCTCTGTGAAATGGGATCTGGGCCCTTTAAGCAATTACCCTTTGCCAGCTTTGTCAGGGAGGCTGCTAGAGAGACAGTGCAGGAGCAGCTCTGCTTCCTGGCTGGGGTGTGCTGCTCAGCAGGGTCCTCTGCACATGCATGCCTTCCTGGGTCCTGCAGTGCACAGTGGCCAGCAGCTCCCCCCAGGACCCCTTTGGGGCAGATGTGTGGTAGAGTGGTTCTGGTGAGACATGCTTTCTCAGACACTCTAGGGGGTGGATTTCTGGCAAGTTGTGCCAGCAAGAAAACACAGCAACTTCTCTGGCATCCAGTGAGTTGCAGCCACATATACTTTCCAATCAGGTCTGGATGGCAGCCCTGGGGAAGGGGATTCTTCCTTGGGCGCAGCCCTGGGGGTTGTGACTGCTCCTTGTATTTGCTATTCCTGTATTCTTTACAGCTGTCTTTACTTCTTACCAGGCGATACCTTGTTACTCTCATTCCAAGTCAGAGTTAATAAATCTTTAAACTTTCCCGGGCCAAATCTATGGTTTTTCTCTCCTGATTGAACCCTAACTAATAGTAAACATAAGAGGAATATTCAGTTTATAAAATGAAAGCACATAGGGAATAGAAACAAAACTCATAAAACTAAGAAGGGTATGGAAAGTATGCAAAAGGACTTATTCCCTAAAACCTAGTTTATGCTAAGTTTGGGTCCTGACTTTGAAATGGCAAAAAGTAGCTATAAGGGCAATAAAAGTACTTCTTTATGCACTTCTCTCGTTGCACTTGTTGCTGTAAGTGGTGGTGCAAAGTGAGAATACAGATTGTTTCAACATTGAGCTGGATAAAATCAAGGAAGATAAATTTAAAAGTAATTAAAGGAAGCAGAATTTCTTATGCTACATATCACAAACTGTGTGTCATGCAGTGGGAAACAAACTAACATCACATTAAATATTCCCTACAAGGCAGTGTCATTCAGAAATGTATTGTTTCTCAAACTGGGGTTCAGTTCTCTACATGACTTTTTAAAAATTTATGTTTTTACTCAGATAAAATTAAAAAAAAATCACTCAGCCTGATCATCTGAGTGATTATCACAAAGCTGTGTTTTACCATATGATTTATTTTAATTTTTAAATTTAAATATTTATTTATTTATTTAATTTTTAAATTTACTTTTAATTTTTAAATTTAAAAAATTTTTTTAACTTAAAAAAAAAAATTTTTTTTTTTACTGAATGATTTTAGTGTTTGATCTTGCATTTCTATTTCACAGCGTACTAATATCAGGTATCCCCAGCTTATTTGACAAGGGCTAATGACAAATGAACTAGGTTGAACTGGCTAAATATTGTGCTAGTGACATATTTAAGCCAAGTGAAATCACAGCACACTATAAGAAAAGAGGTTTGAGGTTTTAAAGCAGTTCAACCAGAGAAAAGCAGTGAAAGGAATCATCCACGACTCATGGTGGCATAGCCATCCCTAATGCAAAAGAGATCTCTTAGTACCATGTGTATGTTGTCCACTTAATTTCAGAAAAAACATTCTCTTCACAATGATTTGAATATTCTTGGTCTAGCAGCTTTATTTTTTACTTAAATTTGTGATTTGTTGTTTTGGCTTTATAGATGAACAAGAGCTATAGAAATTTTATACTTAAGTTTACATTTGTAAAAATAATATAGGTAACTTTGGGAATCTGCTGGAATTTTTTTCCCCCTAACTGAGAGACACACTGGGGTAGACGGCCAATGGATTTAATGTGTTAGAGTTATTCTTTTTTTTGAGACAGAGTCTTGCTTTGTTGCCCAGGCTAGAGTGAGTGCCATGGCGTCAGCCTAGCTCACAGCAACCTCAAACTCCTGGGGTCAAGCAATCCTACTGCCTCAGCCTCTGGAGTAGCTGGGACTACAGGCGTGCACCACCATGCCCGGCTAATTTTTTTTGTATATATATTTTTAGTTGGTCAATTAGTTTCTTCCTATTTTTAGTAGAGACGGGGTCTCGCTCAGGCTGGTTTTGAACTCCTGACTTTGAGCGATCTACCTGCCTAGGTTTCCCAGAGTGCTAGGATTACAGGCGTGAGCCACTGCGCACAGCCTAGAGTTATTCTTACATTCTTATATCTGGTACTAATCTGGACCTGCCTATATTGTTAGGTGAGAGTAGAAAAAGTCTATGTTTATATTTCTCCTAATGGCTAGACAGAAATCATCTTACATATTTGGCAAAGGAAAATTTATTCCTTAGGTAAAGATGGATGACACTAGTAAATAAGCTATAGTATGCATTGCCTGTTCCTTATACTAATGGGATTCTTTGTGTGGTGTGTCTTTTATTCTTTCTTAATCTCTGAAGTCAAAGTCAATGAAATGAACATCATAAATTATAGGGAATTTATTTTTGGAAAATCAAACTAAAACTAATAAAAATACTGCTTAATATATATCTTAGGTAATTTGACAATAAATCTATTCAACATAATTGAAAGTTTATTAAGATCACTCAGGAATATTATTCTCTTTGATATTATAATAAGCAAAAATAAATAAATACATATGCCACTGTCGCAGAAAGATACCAATAGTTGGATGACTTACCTTTTAATTGTTGCCAATTACATTATAAAATGTTATATAGCATATGTATTTTTAGATTAAGAAAGAATTAATTTGAGGAACTTCAATTCTCTACTGGTAGCAAAGAATTTGTCATTAAAGACAGGAGAGCTCATGAAATAATTAAGTAAATTCCCAAAATTAAAAAAAGCCATAGCTAAAATTTTGGAACATTTTAAAAAATATTTCTACAAGTTCTCTATGACTGGATTTTTAAGCACAGCCTAAGATTAGCCTTATTTTTCATTTTTGAAAATGCTCTTATGATATTGTCAATATAATTGCAAGGGAAGAGAAAGGCAATCTTTTTCAGCCCATACCCCTTTCTTGACTGTTGTTAGTAACTAATTCCCCAATAAGAAGTCCTGTTATTAATATATCATAAGAAATATTGGTATCTAGGTGACTTTTATATTCAACAAACCTGTGACTCACTATATTATTGTGTATGGCTAAAATACAATTCTTATATACCATTAAAGAGTGTGGATATGGTCCACATCAGTTTAAATATATTCAAAGAAAACCAATAAATTACTCCCAGTAATATTCTTTAATAGCTGCACTAAAATCTCACCACCATATTTAAAGACTCAAGAATGAAGACATTTTCTTTTTCTCAGAGTAAAAATTACTAGTTCTACCAAAAATCAATGAACCCAAATAAAAATCAATCTTAATGTTAAAATTTTGAAAATTTTGTCAGGCCACCAAAATTCTTGTGCAGTTGGTGGGGTAAAAACAGTAGTGCTTTCACTTTCTTTAATGTGTGTCAATAAAAACTCACCTTTCCACGGTCACTTTTGATTGGTGTGAGGCAACCACATGTGGGCTGGTCACTGGCTCTTCATTTCCTGGGGAGTTTGTCACACGTGGAAGTGCAGATACCTCTGGGTATAGCAAAGGAGATAGAACAAAGGGTTACTAGTATTCTATTATTAGACCAGAACCCAATGTGGTCAGAATGCCCAGATTTACATCCTAGCTCTGCTACTTACCAGTTATAAGTCCATGGGCACATCACTCAAACTCTGTGCCTCAGTTTCCTCATCCATAATAGTACCTACTTCATAGTTTCAATGTTTTAATACATGTGAAGTACACAGAACAGTGCCCCCAGCACATTGTAAGGGCTAAAATAAATATTATTTTTGCTCATATGAAATTGGCTCTAGACAAAAAGTATATAGTATTGAAACCAAAGCAACTGATGAAGATAGCAGTAAGGCTGACACTGAATAGCAGGGGTCCTCAAACTTTTTAAACAGGGGGCCAGTTCACCGTCCCTCAGACCACTGGAGAGTGCGGCGCACATTCCACACATGCGCACTGTGGGCCCGGGACAAGTCAGCTGCTAAGCAGGACAGGCAGTGGCGGCAAAAACACCTGGTGGGTAAATGTTCTCAGTGGGCCACATGTGGCCCATGGGCCGTAGTTTGAGAACGCCTGCTGAATAGCTTTACTGAAGGGTTAGGAGCAAATCCCCATGGAACACTGTAAGTATTAAAAATATTTTTAAAAATTCGGTTCAGTTCCAGTCATACTTAAAATGGTAGGGATTTCATGAATGGAAGGCCACAGTGTACTGTACCTAACTGTGCTACCTTGTTAGTCAGTGCTCAATGTTGGAGTCTACCGTAAGCCAACAATATTGATGACTGACTCTAAAACCTGGGACAGGGTCAAAGTCTTGGAAACCTTCATACAGGTCAGACTTTCAGAGAAATCTGTGGCAGTTTATGGTTTCAGCTTGATGTGAGAGAATATCTGAAATATTTCTAAGATAGTGTTATTTTACAACCTGACACAAATTCAATAAAACTGCCAGAGGTACAAGGGTTCTGTTAACTAAAGCAAAGAAGTGACTGATAATTTTAAAACTGCCCAAATTTATAAAGCTCATAACAGGCAGCCTCTGAGAAGACATCTGATAGATCTGTAAACTTGCCTGCCCGCCTGCCCTAGAATTCTCTTTGTATCACTGCTAACACCATTCAGCCCTCAACCAGAGGTGGGACTGGGAGAAAAGGAATTTGTCTGGTAGCAGATAATCCTCAAGCCTCTTTTTGGCAATTTTAACTCAAACCAAATTTATACAAGTGTTGATAAACACAGGCATGTTGATCAACAGATTTTACCTTTCCTCTTGCCTCTGTTCATTCTTGGATTGATTTACAAAAAACAGTGAAATAATGGATAAGAGAATAGCATGAAGGGGAAAAGTGAAAAACAAGCAAACAAACAAGGACCCAGGCCAGGCACAAACTACAGCATCAGGCCCTCAACTCATTGAGTTCTATGCCTGCCTATAACCCATACTTAATTATAATATTCTTGAAGACGGCATGCTAAAAATGCAATGGGGTGAATATGCAACCATTAGGACTATTACCCAAATAAATGCAACTAGGACATCTTTAAATGAGCATGAAAACCCCACTAGGAAGGAATCATGACATACAGAAACTAGAATAGCTTCTATCAAAATAAAACCAAATCCCAAAATACCAGTAACACTTTGCATTTGAAAGCTCCTAGTATTTATAGGGAATGTTCTTCCACATAAACCATTTGATTTGATCTTTAATCCAGCCTTATGAGGTACTCTAACTTTTGTTTTTGTTTGTAAACAGAAAAAGAAACTGAGGAACCTCTGGTGCTTTCTTTTCACATTGATACTGCGGATAAGGAAGGAGGAAGAGCGAATGATGAGCACTCTATTAGTCACCTGTTTGTACGATCATGAAGCCCATGTGGGATCAGAGAAGGAGCTGAATTAGGAGCTGATGTTGGCCCCAACTGCATGAGCTGGGACTATTCTTAGACCTGAGTACCTCTGGGCTAGTTTATGGTTTCAGCTTGACGTGAGAGAATCGAGCTTGCCTATCCCGCTCACACTGAATCCCAGCACCTACAACAAGGCCTGGTGCAAAGAAGGGCCTTGAAAATGCTTGCTGACTCCATGAGAAAGCAACCTGTACCTCACAAGGCTGCAGTTAGAATTAAACAAGAAAATGTATGAAAGGTACATCTGACACAAAAGGGAATTTAATCAATAGTGGTTGAATCTGAGTACTAAGGTCAATTCCACTTTTATTTAAACTACATTTGGCTTTTAATCACCAAGAATTCAATCACTGTCCAAAGCCCTATACCATATAAGCAACTTTCTAATGAAATTTCAGGATAACTATACGTTATATGTATGGAAACATCATTATAAACTCCAAGAATATGTACAATTATTATTTGTCAATCTAAAAAAAAGGAATGGCTGGGCACAGTGGCTCATGCCTGTAATCCTAGCATTCTGGGAGGCCAAGGTGGGAGGATTGCTCAAGGTCAGGACTTTGAGACCAGCCTGAGCAAGAGTGAGACCCTGTCTCTACTAAAAACAGAAAAACTCAGGCGTGGGGACATGCGCCTGTAATCCCAGCTACTCAGGAGGCTGAGGCAGGAGAATAAATCACTTGTGCCTAGGAGTTTGAGGTTGCTTTGAGCTAGGCTGACCCCACGGCATTCTAGCCCAGGTAACAGAGCAAGACTCTGTCTAAAAAAACCAAAAATACACACACAATATATAAAAAAAAGAAATATCAACAAACTTTTAACTTTACTCTGAAGTCAGAACTAAAAGAAATAACATTTAAATCTTTTTTTTTTTTTTTTTGAGATAGAGTCTTGCTTTGTTGCCCAGGCTAGAGTAAGTGCCGTGGCGTCCACCTAGCTCACAGCAACCTCAAATTCCTGGGCTCAAGCAATCCTGCTGCCTCAGCCTCCCGAGTAGCTAGGACTATAGGCATGTGCCACCATGCCCTGCTAATTTTTTCTATATATATTAGTTGGCCAATTAATTTCTTTCTATTTATAGTAGAGACAGGTCTTGCTCTTGCTCAGGCTGGTTTCGAATTCCTGACCTCGAGCAATGCGCCCGTCTTGGCCTCCCAGAGTTCTAGGATTACAGGTGTGAGCCACCACGCCTGGCTCATTTAAATCTTTTTGAGAACTGCCATAAGTTGTCAAATTTGTAAATTTAAAGTCCATAAGAGGAAATATAAATACGTGCTACTTTAGTAGACAATTCATGAAAGAAATTTAATTTTATAAATGCAAAGGATATTCTAATAGTATGTATAAATATATATGTGGATATATAAAAATATATATTTATACACATGACTATATATAATGTAAGAGTATTTAAAATATTAAGCAATCCATTAGACTATAAACAAATGTGAAAAAATATCTGGCAAAAATGCTAGAGAGAGTTTCACATAACAGGAAATTTGTGGACCATATGACAGACACGTAAGCTTCTGTGAGTCTATGACTACTGTATCTTTCCCCCCTCTAAATTCATGAATATCTTGACCTTTAGAGAATCAATTCAAAAATTTTATATTTAAACTGATTTGAGTTTTCATTGATGGAAATACCTGTTCCTCCAGTGACAGCTCCCTTGGCTATATCACCATTTCTTTGATCAATTGTTTTCTACCAACAAGAAAAAAAAAAGACTCTTAAAAACTAAAGTTGCAAATGGAAATAAAAAATAAGAACATACAAGAGTTAGAAAATGCCATCTCAGTACCTTATCTGTAGCTTCTGTTTTCCTGGTTCTTTTCATAATCTCCTCAAGTCGCTATAAGAAAGGAAGAATTGAGCGAGATGATCAGATACAGGGGGAAAAAAGCCAATGTGGTACAATTCACCAGTGAAATAAATAGCAGATTATAAAAACATGTCTGTTATTTTGGGAAAATATATATGCACTGCTTCGTTTTACTTGTAGTTAATCACAAAAGTTGGAACTGGCTTAAGCTACAAGAAGTGGAAGTAACCGTTTTTTGGTCAAGGCTAATCTTAGAGAGCAATTTCTTTGGAGGAGATTATTAGTACTGAGGGCCACTTTAGTTTATCTGGAAAGGGTAGAACACTTGTTTTGTCATGGCCATCAGCTAAGTCTCCTAATCTTTGGACAGCTAGAAGTCCAGGAGAGAATGAGAACGATCTGTGCTGCAGGTTTCTGCTGGGAGGGGCAGCTACCTTCTTCCTCTCGAGGCGCTCCTGTTCTTCTCTCTGGAAATGCTTCTCTCGTTCCTGCCGGAGCCTCTCCGCTTCTTCACGAACACGAGCTTCTTCTTCTTCTTTCTGAAAACAAAAGGTCAGCATGTACCTATGACAAACAGGCCTGCTGTCCAGTCTCAGGGGACACCCAGAGGTGGAGGCAAGATGACAGATGGAAAAGCCGTGGAAAGTGAGAACACACGCACCGAACAGCGACTGGCTCCACGTTTATCTCTGCTCATCTGAGATGAATTTCTACCCATCTCAGGTAGGTGGCTGCACGCAGGCCGGGGCGTACCTGTCTCTGGGCGCGCTCCGCCTCCTCCCGCTCGCGCTGTTCTCGCTCTGCCGCCTGCCGGCGCAGCTGCTCCTCCTTCTGCCTGGCCTGCTCAGCTTCTAGCCGCCGGGACTCTTCCTCGCGCCGCCGGGTTCTCTCCTCAGCCACCCTTTGAGCCAATTCCTCCCTCTTCTGTCTGCGAAAAGACAAAAACAAAACAAAGACACATAAAGCGGAATTCCTTGAAGAGAGGCCCGAATTTGTGGTTATCGCATGGACAGTTAGTTAGTTCAAAGGTCTGGCAGAAAAACCTACACAGGACATAGTCAACATGGTTAAGGGACAAAATACGAAGCCACCCTCTTCTCTTCCCAGCTTCACTGTTGCCTGAGGTAAACAGAAGCAGAATGTAACCACTAATGTTTGGGGGAGAACTTGCTTTTTCAAAGGATCTACAATTTAACTGTCTCTGAAGGCTAAAATTTGTTTAATCCAAATAATGAGGCATTTTTAGTCATGAATTTGAAGTCCCTCCCCCCGCAAAGAAAATCTTTGTAAATAAATAAAAGTCATAATGTTCTGTCTCAGGACAGGAGGATGGGCCACATAAGCTTCCTGTAAGGACCGCAGGCAGGGAACACCCAAGATGGCACCAGTATTGTGCATGAGCTCCTTCCCCAAGGTGTAGTTCTGTTTGTCTGAAGAACAAGTATATTGACATTAGCCTTATTAGGCCCAGAAGGTGACCGATTAAGCAAAGTATGTCTCTGGCATACTGCCTGGCAGGCAATCATGGGGTATTTTAGTGTCTCACCCAGTTACCCTCTGAGAGGAGTTTTATCTGGAAAGAAGAAAACATGAACCCTTATTATGCAGCTTTAAAATAAGAATTACAAAGATAATGAGGAAGTCTGGAGATTGGAGGTCTGTTAAGTAAAAATGTAGACTGCACAACTGTACCTCAATTGTGGTAATAATTATGTAAATGTGCATGTACATATGTATATATACACGCACATTTGCATAATTATTATGTATATGTACATACCCCTCCACGATACCCCATATTATGTATATGTACATACCCCTCTCTTTCTAATCAGAGATTAGAAAGGACCACCCAAAATGTACACAATTACTGAAAATCAGTATTATTATGGATATTTTTTTCCTTAAACCTTTCTCCATCAATGTTGTTGTATTGTTATTAAAATAAGAAAACACAATTTAAAAAAAAAATCACTTAGTGGACAAAGGAACACCAAGTAAGAGTAATGCTGAAACAACTAACCCATTCACCTTGGTTACTACCACCACCTCTTCCCTTTCAGAGGGGAGAGTTAGTCGGTCCAAGGTATCACGATGGTGTCAGTGACACCACGTGGTAGAGCAGTGTCTCCTCTTTACCTTTCCAGCTCTTCCTGTTCCCTCCGCTCCCTTTCCTCCTTCTCTCTCTGCTCTCGGGCCAGCCGCCTCTTCTCAGCTAGCAGCCGCGTGGCCTCCTCCGGGTCGGTGGTTCCTGCGGAAGTCTTGGGAGAAGCACTGGCAGTCGTAGTGGATGACGGCACTGGGACCGAGGCTGGGGTGGGGCCGGAGGCCGGAGCTGGGGCTGGAGCTGGGGCTGAATCTGGAGTTGGGGCCACAACTGGAGCAGCTGCACAAATACGTACAAGGAGAAAACCAACTGGAAACAAAACCCAAAGAACAGAACAAAACTACCATTCCCCACACTCCGGGCTGAGAATTCATCATTATAAAAGAAAAGGGAATATTTATTATTGTGTGCTCTCATGGTTTCACTGTATTCTGTCTGTAACCAAGCAACAGATAACAAAAAAACTAATTGTGTAAGTGAGACATCCAACAAAGCTGACACTCTGTCACCAAGTCTTATTTTTACACCAGTTAAATCCATTAACAACATATATTGAGTGTGCACTGAGTGTAGAGCCTCATGCTAGACTCTGTGGGAAGTTATACCCTGAGCAAAAAGAAGATGAGATCTCCCATTTGTCTTTTGTTACACCAAAAATATTCCTACTCGTTGGTGACCATTCATTCATTACAAGAGCACTAAAGCCTTTCTATGACCAACCTCAGGGTCCATACCACGAGTTCAGCTTTAGGCTGGGAAGATGACACCCTGAGAAGGGGACCCTTCTGTCTCCCCAGAGCTGTCTTAAGGTCTGAAACGGGAGGAGCCCGAGGCCCCTTCAGGAGCTTGCACTCACCCTGTTTACTCATCCTGGGCCACCAAATTTGAGATGGGAGCGGAAGTTCTCTGGCCTTATTCAGATTTGGAAGATGACCTAGAGAGCTTGTGTAGCAGGGAGCCCCACACAGACACCACGATTCTGCACCGCAGCAAGCACGGTACCAGCGAGGTGTGACCTCTGGCATCTGATCACTCCAGATTTACGTTTCTACTTTTGTTCCCACCGCTTTTGCTTTGTCATCATGACACTCTATGGCCCTCGTCTTCTCCCTCTTTCCATGCAAGCAAACGCTGGACTCTTTTGTTCTCTAATATCTTCATCTGCCTCGAATCATCTCTTCTTTCCCTGGCCCTACTTTCTATCTGCAAATTAAGTCTTAAGCAGAAAACTTTTGTATGAAGACAGTTTTCAACAAGAAATGTTGAATTCCTAGCTCTAGGTGAGTTTAAATTTCTAAACAGCATCTGCTTAGCCTGGCAGAGGTGAGAACCACTGGGTCTTTTGTAAAAAAATTCTGACCTCTGTCAAACACATAGGTTAAGCCAGCGGTCCTCAGCCTCTAGTATGCACAGGAGCAGAGGTGCCAGAGTTAACTGGCCACCTTGTGTTCTACCTGGCAACCCTGCACGGGGATCACTGACAAGCTCAGTACCTGTCAGAGTCCTTGGATCCACCGTACATGCTCTGATCCAGTAGGTCTGAGTAAGCCCGGGGATCTGTATTTTGAAATATCATGGATGTGGTGGTTTAAGAATGTTTCCAGTTTTCCTCAGCTGCTGCCAAGGTGCTCAGTCCTTCCCAGGATGCTAAGACTGTGACGGGGTGAGTGACTGGCATCGTGCCCACACCATGGCCATCTCTGAGCTTGCCTGCCTCTGCACGATGACCTTGTGACAGCAGCCAGTGTCAACGCTGAGACTTTCTGGCCTGTCTTGTTTGCAGAGGCTGGGGTCAGTGTCCACATCGGCAGCCTCGACTGCCGCACAAGGGCTGGCGGAGCTGCCCAGAGCTGGTGCTGCACAGGCAGGGGACCCTGCCCCTCCACATCGCCCCCCTCCCCCTGCTAAGGAGGAGGAAGTGGAGAGTGGAGGCAGGGAAAGATGAGTCTGAGGAGGATATGAGCTTTGGGGTGTTTTTGAGTAAGCATTTTTTGGAACATGTTCAATAAAAAAAATTTTTCCTGCATAAATTCTTTAAAAATTCTCCTTTCAAAAGATGGAGACTAATCTCCTCTCCTTGAGTGTGAATTTGACCTAGTGACTTGCTTCTAACGAACAGAATATGACAGAACTATGGATGGGTGACTTCTTTCTCCCACATCACCTGCTTGGGGGAACACCTGCAGAGCAAGCAGATGATTATGAGGACATCAAGTGACACTCTGGAGAGGTCCACGTGCCATGAAATTGAGGCCACCTGCCAAGAGCCATGTGCATAAGCCACCTTCCAGCTTTGATTGAGTCTCGAGACAATTGCAGCCCTAGCTGACAGCGTGACTGCAATCTCCTGAAAGTCCCTGAGCCAGATCCACTGAGCTCAGCTGTTCCTGAATTCCTGACCCAAGAATCCATGTGATATAATAAATGTCTCTTGTTATTTTAACCTGTGAAATTTTAGGGTAATTTGTTACACAGCAATAGATGACTAATATAAGTGATTCTGATGCAGGTGCTCCAAACACATTTTGTGAAACCCTAGACTCAGCCACTAAACTCACTCAGACACTATGCCTGAATTCATATGCCATGGCTCCAACTATAGGGTTTTGTATGATTTTACTGTTTTTATATGTAAAAAAAATTATACTTAAGAAAAGGTCCCCAAATTAGCCTAAGAGTAAAATTCCAAGTCTCTAATATGAAAAGGAAAGGAAAAAGCTAAATAAAAAGAGTGCAGGAGGCCAGGCGTGCTGGCTCACGTCTGTAATCCTAGCGCTCTGGGAGGCCTAGGTGGGTGGATTGCTCGAGGTCAGGAGTTTGAAACCAGCCTGAGCAAGAGCGAGACCCCGTCTCTACTATAAAGAAATTAATTGGCCAACTAATACATTTAGAAAAACTAGCCGCGCATGGTGGCGCATGCCTGTAGTCCCAGCTACTCGGGAGGCTGAGGCAGGAGGATTGCTTGAGCCAAGGAATTTGAGGTTGCTGTGAGCTAGGCTGACGCCACAGCACTCGCTCTAGCCTGGGCAACAAAGCGAGACTCTGTCTTGGGGAAAAAAAAACAAAAACCAGTGCAAGAGAAAAAACAAACAAACCCACGTCCCATCACAGGTCAGTTCACTCTTACCAGGGTCGGCTTCTGGTTCGACAGGTGTCCTCTCTTCAACGGTGGCATCTGCTACCTTCACTAAAGGTGCTCTGCCCTTCAGTGAGGGCTCATTGGCAACTTTCTGAGGTTCCTTCTCGGGGTCTTTTTTCTCAGGCTCCCCTCTGACTTCTCTCTTGACAGGGCGGATGTTGCCGGGGGACGGGGGCCGGACCTGAGCAGGGGCAGCTTTGAACGAGCCAGGGGGCAAGGAGGAGGCTGGTCTGGGTGTGCCAGGCAAATGAGGAAAGGACTTGGACGGGAGCCTGGGCAACAAACAGACAAGGCAGAGAGAAGGGGACCCATCAGAATAGGCTTGCCAGGCATCACTTGATGGAAAAGCAATGCAGATACTACATTTAGCTATGTGTGTTTGTCTTTTAGGTGGCAAATGCATAGAGTCGCTTTAGAGACCCATTGCATTTTCCTTTTTTTCTTTCCTTTCAGGGAGAATGTTTCTCCCTGAGTCAAAGCCACACAGCATGGGGAGAATAGTTCACCTTCAGAGGACAGAGGCTACCAATTCTTCAACACGGAACAACCCAGCCAGCTTCTCATATTTCACTTACCACAGGCGAGAGGAAGCTGGTGATCTTGCTTTGGGATTAGATGGAGATAGAGCCCTTCGGACGCCAGATGTGAGGTGGAAGGGTACATTTTCTCTCTCTCTCTCCTTTTTATAGCCCTAAGTTCAGAGAAACTTAATAATTAGATTTTTTTTTCTGTGAGTGAAGCAGTATTCAACAATAGAGCTACAAACCATTTAATGACTTTTTGGGAATTTTCTAAACTATGCCACATATATTCATTCCACCTCAACAAAAGGCCCTTGTGAGCTTACAGTAGAACAGTATAACTGAATTAACACAATGTGACTGATAAGGTGGTTCTAGATCTGTGATTTGGAGTTATATTCGTTTTTTAAAAATACCCTTATACTTTTAGATTACCTGGAACAAAATCCCAGTCTGGTTTATCCCACACAAATGTCAAAAATAATTTCCATTGTTTTCCTAACTTTTAATTAAAACACACCTTTTTAATTTGTTAGCTTTTCCCCTTAAAACAAACTATATAGCTCAGTTTCTAAAAAAAATTTCCATGCTTCTATATCAGATGTTAATTCATTTTTTCCTTTATACTGATGTTAGAGAAATAAGACTTTCCTCACCTAGTGTCCTCTTGCTCTTGAAGAAAAGTCACGTTCAAGGCGAGGAATTTTATCTATTTTTACTCTGTACTAGATACAGAATTAAAATTGGACGGTAGGCCAAAACATCAGCCTTCTCCTGACTGCTAACTAGGAATACAGCCAGAGAGAGGACATCTTTCTTAAGTTGAAATGGGCAAAGAAAGGGAAACCCAAAAAGTGTTCTGATATTCTAAACTCAATCAAGAAAAAAATTGCGCAGAGCAAAGCAGACCCACTCCAAGTATCTGAAACTTCCCGACAGGGCTCTGGGATGGGAATGGATGTGTCCTGGAGGCACCTGTGTGCACAGGCTGCAGGGGTGCCAGCGAAGGGGCAGCATGTCATCTAGCCTCAGGGCAAATAAGCTGGTAGGTAGTGCACCTGTCGTCCTCTCCGTTTCTGCCTGGCTCATGCATTAACTGCTTCTTCCTTCCCTTCCCTTTTACTCCCATTGGTGTCCCTTTTATTTGCTTCTCTCCATTTTCATAGTTGATGTACTAGGCTATGGGAAGGGGAAAAACACCTAAGTGTCAAATAATGCTCACTGTCTCCCTGGAATTTCTAAGTAGAAGAAATGAACAGGCAGCAAAGAGCTTGACGAGGTGTGTGCCAGCTCTACATCATTTCCAGCTGTACCCTCCGCCCCTGTCTCTGGTCCCAGAAGGTGGAGCCTCCCCGAGCTGCTGGAGTCCTTGGGGAGCAAAAGCTGCAGCCACATTATGGTGGCCTCCTGGCTGGTGCACAGGGTGGCAGGCCCAGGGCTCTTCCCAAGGGAGAGTGGGGTTAAGCACCTTAAGCAGCCTTTCTTTTCCTTTTTCTCAAAATATTTTGATTTGGCTGAAATCAGATCAACAAGAGATCAAAATGGGAAATAAGTCAGGAAGGACAATTTTTGATGTAGGGGGTTTGGGGCCGAATTTTATTGTCTGTTCCTTGATAACACAGGGATCAGGCACTAAATCTATATAGAAGTACATAATCCTCAGATAGTCTGCTTTTAAAAGTGCCGTCGAGCCAATTACTTCTTTCTCTCCTAAAAGTGATCTCCTGTAATCACCTAGGAGTGGGAGAGCAGGGGAGGAGTGGTTTGAAAAAACACTCAATACTTGAGTTAACAACCTCCTGAGCAGGTGGTTTTTTTTTTTTTTTTTAAAACAACAACAACAGCATTTTAGTCCTTTCTTTGCTCTTGTACCCAACCACCTATTTGGGCACCACACATATAAAAGCACTCCTGATTTGGCACCCTGATCTGAGTGAACAGCCACAGTCTGTACAATCATCTTTCCTTTAACACTTTCCACAGTGCTGAGGGGGAACACATGCAACAAGTGAGTGGTCTGGACAACCTACCACTAAGGAGAAATTTTATAAATAGAGGTAGGTTTAGAACACAGTGTAGATATCCTCCAAGAGACAATGCACTAACAGACACTCTAAGGAAGTGCTGCCCAACAGAACCTTCTGTGATGGTCGAAATACTCTAAATCTATGCTGTCCACATGGTAGCCACTAGCCACATTTGGCTATTTGAATTTATCTAAATTAAATAAAATTAAAAATTTAAAACATTTTCGGTGCTTAAAAGTAGCCATTTGAATTTAGGTCTAAATTAATTAAAATTAAATACAATAGAAAAGGAATTTAAGAGAACAATTCCATTTTCGATAGCATCAAAAAGAATAAAATACTTGGGAATAACTTAACTGAGGATTTCAGAGACTTGTACATTGAAATCTAGAAGACATTGTTCAAAGAAGTTAAAGATAACATAAGTAAATGGAAAGGGACCCTGTGTTCATGGATTGGAAGACTAAGATGTCAATACTATCCCAAAGGTATACACAGATTCCATATAATCCCTATCAAAATCCCAGTATCATTATATTTTTGCAGAAATAGAAAAATCCATCCTAAAATTCATATGGAATCTCAAGGGACCCTGAAGAACAAAAATAATCTTGAAAAAGTAGAACAAAGTTGGAGGTTTCATACTTCCTGATTTCAAAACATATTACAGATTGAGCATACCTTATCCAAAATGCTTGGGACCTCAGAAATGTGTTGAATTTTGGATTTTTTCAGATTTTGGAATACTTGCATTAATACTTACTGCTTTAGTAGCATCCCTAATGGGAAAAATCCAAAATGCTCCAATGAGCATTTAATTTGAGTGTCATGTTGGCACTCATAAAGTTTCAGATTTTGGATTTTCAGATTACGGATACTTGACCTATACAAAACTACAGTAATCAATACTGTGTGTACTGGTACAATGATAGACACATAGACCAATGGACTAGAATAGAAAGCCCAGGAATAAACTCTGATGTTTATGGTCAAATGCTAAGACCACTCAATGAGAAAAGGACACTCTGTTTAATAAATGGTGCTGGGAAAACTGGATATCCACATGCAAAAGAATAAAGCTGGCACCATCTGGGGGATGGACATGCTTGAAGCTCTGACTCGGGTGGGGCAAAGGCAATATATGTAAACATTTGTACCCCTGTAATATGCTGAAATTAAAAAAAAAAGAATAAAGCTGGACCCTTACCTTATATAACATACAAAAATTAAGTCAAAGTGGACTAAAAACCTAAACATATGACTTAAACTATAAAAATCCTGGAAGAAAAAATTGGTGAAAGGCTACATAACATTGGTTCTTGTATTGATTTCTTGGCTATAACACCAAAAGGAGAGGCAACAAAGCAAAAATAAAGAACATCAAACTTAAAAACTTCTGTGCATCAAAGGAAACAATCAACACAGTAAACAGGCAACTTATGGAATGGGAGAAAATATTTGCAAATCATATAAGGGGTTACCATCTAGAATAGACAAATAACTCTATAACTTAACAACAAAACAAATAACCTGATTAAAAAGTGGACAAAGAATATGAACAAATATTTCTTGAAAGATGACATATGAATGGCCAAAAAAGCATATGAAAAGAAGCTTAATATCACAGATCATTAAAGAAATGCAAATCAAAGCCACAATGCAGTATCACTTCACAGCCATTAGGATGGCTATTACTAAAAACAAACACACACACAAACCCAGAAAATAACAAGTGTCAATGAGAATGTGGAGAAACTGGAATCCATGTGTATTGTTGGTGGGAAGGTAAAATGGTACATTTGCTACAAGAAATGAAGGCTCCTTGAAAAACTGAAAATAGGATTACCTTATGATCAAGCAATCCCACTTCATGGTATACATAAAAAAAAAATTGAAAGGAGGATCTTGAAGAGATATTTGAACATCTATGATCATAGCAACAGTATTCATGAGGTGAAAGCAATCCAGATGTCCATCAATGGATAAATGAATAAACAAAATGTGGTACACACATATGGTAGAATATTATTCAGCCCTAAAAAGGAAGGAAATTCGGACATATGCCACAACAAGGATGAACCTTGAGGACATTACGCTAAGTGAAATAAGCCAGTCACTAAAATTCAAACAGTGCATGATTCCACTTTTATGTGGTCTTTAAGGTAGTTAAATGCATAGAAATAGAAGGTAGAATGGTGGTTGCCAGGGGCTGGGAAATGGGAAGCTATTTAACTGGCACAGAGTTTTGGTTTTCCAAGATTTAAAAAGTTTTGGAGAATGGTTACACTATAGATAATATGAATATACTTAACACTGCTGAACTTCAAAATGGCTAAGATGATAAATTTTATGTTATGTGGTTTTTACCACAAGTTAAAGATTTTTTAAAAATTCAGTTTGTCAGTCTCACTAGCCACTTTCAAAGTGCTCAATGTGGCTAGTCACTACTGAATTCCACAGTGTAGTTCTGAAGCGTAACTGATGCCTGGAGTCATTTTCTGGTGGTATGTGGTTGCCTAAATACTTGGTTATTAAGAGGTGAAAAGAAGGCTAATTGATCAAATGAAGAAAGAAGGTAGCATTAAAAACAAAACAAAACAAGGTTCTGGATTATGTGATGACAAATCCCTCTCATTTACTTTGTTAGCCAGGATCAGCCCTCCCTCTTCACTCAAGGAGTGTTAAGTTTTGTTTTCATCCAGAAAAATATGTTTTTCCTTTGGTAAAAGCTCCTCTTACCTGCCCGATGAGCACTCAATGTTTAGGGCCAAAGCTGTTCTGTTTAACTATGGCTTTTTGTCCACAGCAAGCATCTCTGAAGCACCAACATTAAGGAATTAAAAACTTCACAGACATCAAAGGTAGTTTCACCTTTGGCTGAGAGGGTTGGAGTGACTCAATCATGAATTAAACACTGACTCAGGAAAGCCTGAAGGGGCTTGAAAGAAAACTGCCTGCAGGCGAAGCCACCAAACCTTCACAAGGCAAAATCCTGTTAAGTGTCCATCAGGTTTATACATCTGAATTGCTCTGGGAAGTTAAGATTAAAAAAAAAAGTTCCAGTTTTTCATTAAAAGGGTCATACTATTATCATGAAGAGAGGCAATGAGATCTTCTGGTTGATTGTTGAGTCTTGTTTCTTCTTTTTTAAAATAGAGACAGAGTCTTGCTCTGCCACCCAGGCCGAAATTCCTGGGCTCAAGTGATCCTCTTTGGCCTCCCAAAGTGCTGGGACCACAGGCGTGAGCCACTGCACCCCCGCCTGATTGGTGAGCCCTTTAAGACTAAAGGAGAAATGTCTGAAGACCTAGAAAAATGTTTACATCCTTCAATTGATACCAAATAAACACAGGACTTAAAACAAAGAAGAAAGATGCCTGGAGACAGACAAATTACCTCACTGCATTTAAACCATGGTGAAAATTCACGTTAGCTCAGCCACCTTGCCAATAAATAGCAAGTACAAATTACGTTCTTCGCTTGCACAACTTGAGTTTAGAGCACAGCCTAATAGCCTTTCAAGAATTAGTTATTTAGCAAATAACTACTGTTTTCAAAATACTTCTTCACTATATTTTAAGATCTAGGCCTTGCCAGGGATTAACTAAGCAGGATAAAGATTCTTTATCTTGCTTTTTAAAAAACCACATTTAGAGCTCAGCTGGCTGTTGGATATGGTTGGAATAAAATGTCAAGGTGGCAGTCCAGGCCCACTTCCACCTCAAAGGCTATTTGGTTTTCTTACTTTCAAAAACGAAAGTATTCTGTCCTTTTACTTATTTGCATGGTGGCTCTGGTAGGGGCGGCTGGCCACTCATGCATGCTTGAACAAAGAACAGTTTTCATCTTCAAATTCCAGTTTTTTGGGAGAGCAAAATTCCCAAGTATAGAGAAAGTGGGAAGACACTACCACCCAGCCAGCCAGATTCATGACCGGTGGGATGGAGGGGATGTCATAGCTTTCCCCGACACCCGCACCGCACCTGGGAGTAGTGGTCACTCTGCAACAGAAACAGCACCGGCTCCCAGACTCTCCCAGCTGCTCCCAACAGCTACTCACCGCTATGCCATGAATGGTCCTCCTGCGCGAAGAGCCCTCAGGTGGTGTTACAAAGAGTTTTGGTCGATCTGTCGGATTTCTAGAGTGTGCAGCTTTGAAGGGCATGATGATGGGGCTGCAAGATGCTGAACGAGGACAAATGGGGATAACTAGGGTGCAGGTGATTGGTTTTACACATAAGAGTGCCAGAGGAGCAGTTGAAGAAAGCCAAAAGCAGGTTCAGGAAAAGGAGCCAAGCAGAGACAGAGAGAAAAGTAGGAAGAAGATGTTATTACCTACAGGTGCCCAGAACCATCATACTCAGCTGTCCTCATAGTCCTATGAGTTTATGATGTGTCCAAAAGGAAAGCATGTCCTAGTGAGAAATCTGGAATATATTGTTAGCTATTTGGCTATTTAAATACTGATTAAAGATACAGATGTAATCCAATAATTATGGAGAGCAATGGCCTTATATGCCTATTAACTGATGGTTCTGGAAAAATGCTACGTTAGCTATATACATTTTATATGGGACTGGTTTATAATTAGATTTTTCCTAATTAGCTTTAAGATGGAACAAAAGGTGGAAAGAGAGGAAGCGTGCAAGCAGGCAAGCAAGATATACTACAACTATTTCAGGATTCAAGTTCAAGAGCCAGCAAGGGGTCAGGGAAAGCAACTGAATTTAAAAGATGTTAAATGACAATCCCAAGTCTTACCAAGTGTTAAGACTTGTCACAAGAATAAGCAACAATTTCCAGAAAATATTATTCTATAAATGTTTTATTTACAGGCAAACCAAACACATGCTTCTGGGTTTTACCAAAAGCCAGAGCATTTGATGGTTCATAAGAAGCAGCATTAGATCATAAGGGGAGATTGGATATAAACATTTAAAACGATGAATAGAACATAAACATGTTAGAATTGCCAAAATAAGGTTGAATCATGAATAGCTTTTACAGTTTTACTCAAGATGGAATACTCTTTTTGAAAAACCACAGTCTCACCATTCACCTTCAAAGTAACACTGTTGTTAATCAAGTTATTCTGAGCAACAATGGGTTTAAAGAAATTCAGGTAACACTGCATAGATATTAAAAGAGTGGGTACTACGATCCCAAGGTCTACTTTCAGACTTCATTCGGAAATCTTGTTTTCCAGCAAAAATAAGACAAACCTGACTACCAAGAAGAATACTATATATTAGGACAGGGTCATAAAATAACTTTACTCAATCTAGCCATTGTAGCAACTCTTTAAACAAACCATTATGCCAGCTGAATGTAACAGTATCGACAAGTTACAAACTCAAAAGTTTACATGGCAAATTTGAGATAATCTTAATTTCAGAATTATAGAGGTTAAAAAATATTTAACTGTTATTTTGGTTTAGCCTATAGACAGAAAGTTGATTAGATTGCATCTTTATTAACGTGCTCTCTTTCATTAAATGCCTGGCAGTATCCATGGCTATCACTGAATGGTTGAGGCAGTGAATAGATTGCAAACTGCACTCTCTTCCTCTCATTTGAAAATAGAATTCTATTTCTTCAGAACCAACTAAAACACTTTTCATTTCCTCAGTTCTCCTTAAAAGAATGTGTGTCTTACTTGGGAAGTGAAATAAAGCTTTACTTTCAACCTTCATGGCGAAGGAAGGATTTGTATTGTGAGGAAAGAGAATCTCTTGCCATTTTGCTTGTGATCACAGGGGAAACAATTTGAAAATAACCTTTTCTCAAGTGCCACAAGACACTTGCATTTTCCAGACAAGAAAGAGTTCATTAATGCAAAATTCTTCCAAGGCAATCAAATGCATTTGAGGAATAACATCCTGGCAGAAGGCACCTCTGGGGATTAATGACCAGGAAGAGAGGCACACATTGCTCAGGGCACAGGCAAAGGCCATTAGCCTTGTTCAAGGATCAGGAAACCCCAGAAAACAGTCTAGCTCTGAGGCCATGAGTCTGATGCTGAAATAGGAATGAAACACAGCAATATGATTTCTTTTCCCTCTAGTGGGAAATAACAATTTCATGAGGCATCCATGGAGCAGTTCCTGAGACCATCCTGGATGTAAGCTAATCTCATCATGTCTTCTGGTTTATTCTTTTAGTGTAGAGGTAATATTACATATGGTTTGAAAATGTCCTTAAATCTGTCTAGTGTAGTTCATAGGAAAAAAAATCATCAAATTTAATTGTCCAAAGAACATCTTCTGGCTACAATAAACATTATAAGCCCCTTGTGAGGTTATTAAATTTCATGGAATTCACTGCTGTACTAAAACAGCAAGTATTGAAAAACCTGAAATCTTTAAACCGATTATTTGTATTATCTTGCCATTCTGAAGAAATAGTAAGAGCAACATATAATTATTTTTTTCCCCACAGTACCTTCCATATCCCAAGCAATTTAATTAAACATGAACACTGTCTCATGGAAATGTCTTTGAGAAAGTATTCCACAGTATCTGTATCCCATCCTACTCTTGGTTGTAAGTGTGCATTAATTTAACTCATTCAAAGTTTTCTACGTGAAATAATGGGTACAGAGAAAAGACAAGGCAGTTCAAGTAGTTGAGTATAACACAGAGAATAGAAAAACTGCATAATAGAACACTAATATTTATCGAGGGCCTACTATGTGCAGGTATTATTCTAAGCATATATTAACTTATTTAATCCTCAGCTCTGATAATCACATTTGGAAAGTTCTGGGGAAAAAAAGGGGTGCATGGAAAAGTCAACCCAAAACAGTGAGTGCAAATGAGAGGTATGAGACTCAGATTTCCAATTCTCAACTGCTCTACTGTTTGCTCAGGGAGTTTGTGATCACAGAACACCCTAGGGTTAAAGAGTGGCTGTTTTAATCTACTAATGTAACCCTGATCCAATAAGGGTCACCTTCTTGCCAATGGGAACTAGGAATATGATGAAGTCAAGGGACAACACTAAAATGGGAAGACAAGAAAAAAGAATCAAGGATTAGATGAAAAAATTAAAGTGATGGAAAAAGCATTGTTGACAAGACAACTAGAAAGATGTTTATATATATATAATTCCAAATGAAAATTTAAAACAAAAACAAGAGTTTTTGGTTCACTAAACATAAGCTGTATCAATGCAATAGGTGACAATGATCTAGGCAATGTATTAGTAATACGGGCAATTCACAAACTATGCACTTTTTCACACTAAAATAAATTACAGACACATATCAACTATGAAAAGGAGAATGGAAAAGCTGCAAAGTAAAGAGCCAGTTTGCAGATAATAAAGCACCTTGACTGGGCATAACGATGGAGGAGGAGGGAAGGAGGGCAAGTAGAATGGGTGGAAAATGAGGAAATGGTGTTGGAAAAGACTAGGGGGAGAATGAAAGAATTGACGAAAGTTAGTGATGACACAAATAGCAAAGAAAGACTATTTCCTAGCTGTGAGACAGTCCTTTAGCACAATACAAAGACATACAATGTGGAGATTCAGAAGCATGATAGCCATAAACTAGCTAGACTCTATGAAATATTAATAGGACTGAAAAGCCATCTTAAAGGTCCTTCCATTAGCTAGACATTAAGAAAAACTTTCAAGACACATAAAAGTATGAAATTCATAGGCATAGAAAAAAGCCAAAAGAAATAAGCTGTATTTTCTCATCCAGAAAAATCGCAGATGCAATGTGACAGTTCTGACAGGAGAGTTACTTTACAGAAAGCACAGAACAGTGGTGCAGCTAGTTGACTGCACAATTGCACACAAAGCATCACCCAGGGTGCAGAGGAGGGAGGGCTAAGCACATTGAAGATCCAGGCCACCGATTTTCTAAGTGACCCTGGTGTAAGTCACTTATTCTCACTGCACTTGGTTTCCATAAAGAGGTGGTGGGAATGCCCATGCTTGCTTTTTTGACTGTGTCCCAGGGTTACTGAGAGATTTGGGGTTGAGACTCATTAGCTCATTGGGCACCACAGAGAAAAGGTGCCACAAAACCACCAAGAATTATTATTTGTAAAGTGGGCTATAATGAGCATGGAGAGGCTTGCAGAGGCAAGGCATTTTTAAAGGGGACTTTATGGAGAGAGTATGCAATTTCCCAAGTGCCAAAAATGAAGGCTGGCAGACTGGTTACATAATTACACCAATCGTGCCGAAAAAATATTTGGACAAAACTAAATGAACTCACCAGGACTGAAATGTTACTCAAAACCTAATAGGTACCTTTCTTACCAATTAGATATAGGCTCTACTCTAACTTTTCATTCAATTTAATTGGCTCATTCAGGCATGTTTTACATCTCAAAAATGTAGAGGAAACTATTATAATAATCAGTATCATAATAACCAGTACTAGGCATGTTTTTACATATTTTCAAAGAAGGTAACAAATAAGAACACTACAATTAGCCTTCTCCACTATTCCAAGAGTTCTAGAAGGGTACAATTCCTAGATTACATATAAAAGACTGGTGCAGGGAGGATAAGTAGCCAGCCCACAGCCACATTAAGAAACTCTATGCTTAAATAACAAATTTGTGCTTTGATTTTATTCCCAAGTCCACATATTAATATTGAATATTAAATTATTTCTACCTTTGATCATCTGCTTAGAGATGGGGGCAGAAGGAAAAGGCAGGTAAGGGATAATTTTTTCTGGTAAAATTATGAACAGGCAGGGGTCTCTGAAGTTTGGTGTCTGGCACTCGGATAAGACTAAGGTGGATATTAGGGGACAGTGTGCCAGGGGCATGACACCAACAGACACTTCATCCGGAGGAGAGAGGAGCACACAGGAAAAATGGAGGTGTGATTAGGCGAATATTGGTGGCTCAGATATGCTTTGAAAGGAGGACTTGACCTAACTGGGAAAGTTTCCACCTGGACAGTTTTACCTGCATCTCCAGACAAGGCGGCTGTGCTTTTACTTCTGGCCAGGAACGAATGTGTGGGCGTCAGGAGTCTGTTAACAACGTTGCTCTCCCAGGGGCTGAGCTGCAGGCGGCGAGCTAAATGTCACCACATAAGCAAGATGTTAGAAGCATTCTGGCCAGGGTCAACAGGGCGTAGACACCACACCTATTGCTTCCATGTGCCAGGCCTTCGAGCGAGACCAGGCTCTGCAAGGAGGCTGGTGGCTGAGAGTCAGGGCAACAGAAACCCTGCCCAAAGGGAGAGCCATTCCCCTAAGGTTGCCTTGGGTTTAGTTAAGTTTGTGGCATGCTCTAAATTAGCTTTTACAGATGCAGATTTTGCTAACCATCCTTCTTTAGTAGTCAAATGTCAATAAAACATAAATATCATTTCAACTATAGTTTTGGGGTGTATTGATAACTCCAGGGCAATACCAGGTACTATCTGACGGCAGTGGACTGATGGCACACACCTTAGTGAAAGGGCTTCCTAAGTACCTTGAATAATAAACCCCAACAGAACCACTGGCAGGCTAAAGAAAGACTGGAGTTATATAAAAGATGGAAAGGGTCCCCATTGAATTATGCTACATCTTCATGAATTGCTAGTTGAGCAATTGGGGTGTGTGCGTGTGCAGGAATTAGATACAATAAAATTAAAGAAGACTCATGCAGAGTTCTGTATGGGATTCCTTTTAACTTTTCCATTTGGCAAGCTGGGTTCTTTTATGTCCCTGTTTGGCAACAAACATAAAGATTTTGGTTGGGATAAGGCTAAGGCTAAAGCAAGAGAAAATTAAACAGAAAAGCCAAAATCCTAGTGGATACCTGAAGAATCTAGAAAACAAATTAAAAACAATGCAATGGTGTATGGTCTCAAATTATACTGGGGCAAGGTCATACTTAGGAAATGTATGCCAGTTATAAATTTGGGTGCAATTTGCCTCTGGAGCAGGAGTTCTTACAACAATCTTGTATACAGCATATTCTAAAGAAATGGCATTTAAATTCGAGGAAATTAGTTTTAGTTAATACAAACCATATATTGCTAAATATTGTTATAAAAAGTATTTGATCCTATCTGGAATGAACTACCAACTTCCAATAACTACCTTAATTATCTGACTTTATTTTAAAAGAGTGGCTGTTTTGATTAAGGCTCTGGTGCATTTAGAAATTAGTGAATTATTCATTAGATTTATTAGAAGAGTCTTTGTGGTTAAGACATTAATAAAAAAGACCTGTTATAAAAACTACTGCAATAGTTACGGTTGGTGGAAAGCACCATAGGATCAGTACTAGCATAAACTATAGTATGGCAATGTGTAACAGCAGAATATAACACAATCTAAAATTAGAATACATTCACAGGATAAAGTCAATGGGGAAAAAGTGATTAGATAAATTGAAAATTTTCAATAGCTAAAAAAGGGAAGAAAGGAAAGAAAGATGAATGTTTCCTTAGAAAAACTGTAGGATGACTATGGCTTACAACTGCAGAGATGAGTTATCATAGAAAAGATAAGTCCCTTTTCTTTACTCCATTAAGAAGTTCAATTACTTTATTTCCACGAGTTGTTAAAAAATCGACCAAAGAACTTGTCTCAAATGAAGATCATTGAAAAACCACTTTAACTTGCGTGTAAAGCAAATCCGAAGAGATTTGTTTTATAGCTCTTGATACTATGATGAAAGATTTTGCTAGGAGAAGCATGTTTTCATTTCTTTTACCTTCATAACCAGGAGTTTGAGACCAGCCTGGGCAGGAGAGAGAGAGAGAGAGAGAGAGAGAGAGAGAGAGAGAGAGAGAGAGAGATCCCTACTCTAAGCAAAAAAAATTGCTTCCTGGACCATATGGGAGCCTCCTCCCAGCAACTCCCAAATTTAGTGCTCTCCCTCCTGTCCTGTTAGTTCAGCTTAGTATTCAGCTTTCTAGGTCTGCACTAAGATTCAAGGGGCAGTTTTCTGGCCCAAGCTATGAAATGGTTACTGAACTTCCCTTGACACTGATATCCTATGTCCTATCTCTCTACTTTTAACCTTACCCCGCAAAAAAATGTACAGAGTAAATCAAAGAAAGGACACCTGTTCAGGTAAGAACTGAGGACGTGGTGTGGCAACCGCATGGGCGAGGAGCTGGAGATGGCTGTTCTAGCTGCCTCCTGCAACAATTAGCCTATAGGACATTAAGTCAGGCTCTAGACTTCTTAGGGGCTCTATCACCCCAACTAAAGTAGATGATCCACCCAACAGATCTTTCTCAGTTCTAGGACTCTATTTTCACAAGAGCAGCGAATTATATACAATCATACAGGGTGCATAAAACATCTTATTTCTAATTAATACAGAAAATTCAGCATGGTCATTCCACAGAAGTGTGGATGGGAGATTGCCTGGTTTATTGTCCAGCTCCTCACACACATCCTTACCCTAATTTCAGCTATGGGGCTGTAGGAGACAGTGAGCAATGTTTAACTTTAAAGTACCTTAAAACTCTCATTGCAGTTTGTCTCAGACCCAGGTTCACAAAAGTATGAAATTAAAGTGTTTAATAAGTGACCAGTTCCAAAGAAAAGACGAAGAAACAACTGTTAAGAGCAGCATTCACACACTATATTTTGTATGAGGGACTAGGTTTGAAAATAAAGGATATTTATGAAATGAATTTTAATTCATAATACTTATGAAAGGTCCCTAATTTGACTAATATTAATGATCAAGGCAAATTAGGTTAAAAAACACAGGAATGGTTTTGGTTTAAAGGCAAGAATAGGAAGTTATTCAAACATTGACTGCTTTAAGAGATTAGTTATAAAATAACATCAATACTTACATAATATTGTACATTACAATGACATAACTTTTATATAATACAAAATATACATACACACATATAGAACATGCACACATTACATTCCTTTTAAAGATTATAAACACTGAAACTTTCCCAGTTTCTTAATAAAGTACTCAAAGTAACCACAATTTGTTACTTTTAAAGAGTGTTTTTATATTGCACAATAACTCTTTGGTTTTATTTAAAAATCATCTTAGTTATGTAAAACAAGTAGCTTATCTTAAAAGCTTGATTTTTCCTTCTATGGAATATGTAAAATAAAACTTTATAAATAATTCGACATTCATGTACTGTAAATCCATGAGATGAATAAAACTCAAAGTTCAAATAGGATGTTAACTCGAGGACTATGAATACTGAATGTTTCAGGAGGCTGTCATGACAGTGATATTCTTGAAGTTAGGCCAAATCCCTCAAGAGTAAATGAATGGACACCAAAAAACCAATAGCACACATAAGAAACGCAGTAAGAAATGTTTGGTTAAGTGAGAAATTGGCAAAATGAAATCTACCAACATGAATCACTTTAAAATTTTTAGAAAGTCAGAGCCTGGAATTTCCAAAGTACAGATGAAAAGCCAAAGACAATATGATTGAAGTAAAGAAATGTTCATAACAAAGATTATATGTATTTTGGTGGATAAGTGGGTGATTTCTGGAGCTGTAAACTCATTTACTAAAAGTCGAGAGAAGCACCGCTTTCATCACTGCTAAATGCAATCATTCAGCCAAGTTCTAAAATGAGAAATGTTCTTGTCGCAAGGAAAATGCTGCTCAGCCGTTTATTGCTTTTTTACTCTGAAGTTTTTTTCTTCCTATTTAAGAAACGTAGGGAAAGCAACTTCAGATGCTTATTTTTATCTGTAAACATCCAGAAAAAAAAGCATTAAGTAAATAACAGAACACTTTTTTGTTTTCCTTTTGACTGTACCTCTATCTGGAGAATTTAGTAAAGTTGCAGATGAGGAGGAGAGCCGCTTGCTAATGACGGGATCAACATGTTTCGAAAGATTCATGGTGGAAACTGACCGCCTGTCTGGATCTAAAACAAATGGAGATAATGCTAATTGACAGCCAGCATGCAGGATTGCCATTTCCCAGATCACTGATGGAAGGAAAAACTAGCATTGGATGCTTTCAGCTCTATTTCTAGATCTGTCATAATAACTCAGTTTTCTAAGTGGACATTTCAAAGGTAACTTAAAGGCTAGAAATAAAATTCATTTTTCTTATAGGATAAAATAAATATTCAGCTCACCAGTTTGTCAGTCGTAGAAATTCAAGGATACTGTTATAATACAAGCGTATGAAGACAGAAGGAAGGCCACTGAAGGGCTTCTAAAATAGTGCAAGCAAAAGAGGGCCATGAAAGTGAATGCCTTTTTGATTTCCAAAAGCAGGAACAATGGGGTAAGTGCTGGTAAGACAGAAAGCAAACACTGGTGTACAAAGAACACCAAGTTCTGTGTAATTGCTGCGACTATGCTTGTAGTGTCATTTTATTGAAGGCATTAAAGTTCATTATAGGAGAATAAAAAAAAACACAAGAAAAAGAAACATTCTAAATGTGGAAAGGATGGCCACTATAATCTTTTTTTTTTAAGCCTACTAATAACTACATCTATGAGTTTAGTGTGACTACAAATATAGAATCAGTATACAAAGTTGCCCAACAAAACTGATAGCAATATAAATAAAATAAGAATTCTAAGTACATGAACAATATTATTGCTTATCCTGCAATTATCCTGTAGTCAAAAATTCTAATTTTAGAATTCTTAAAGTTCAAATCAAAAGGGAAATAACCATATAAAAGGCAAAAAATAGCAGTTTGCTGTTGGTACAGTGGAATCAAGTTGTAATCATGCCCATTGGCACATAGCATGTTCCCTGAATAAAACTACATAAAATGTATAAAAATATCATTATTATATTTATCTAGGAGCCAGGTGTATATTCTGATCTATAATAGCCAAAGTTAAAGGGATTTGGCTATATTTTGTTTCATTTTCCTTGGTGGTAGATTTCAAAACTCGGTTTCCATTGGTCTAACTAACCTTCGCAGTAAAAATTTTGCAGTGAACTTTTTCCATGGAATAACCATTTCTGACTATTTATGGCACAATGGTGATATGGAAGTATTCTACAAGATCAGACATTTCTATCATCTATGGGGATTCATTTTTATGGTTGAAGCAATTTTATTATTGAAAAAAAAACCACACGATTTCTGTGGCTCATATTTGGGGCTCTTAGGGCAATCCTAACATAAGGAAAAGATTTAGGGCAAATCATCAAAAGGTGCATCTTATTGCTGAAATGTGAGGAGAGAACACAAGGAGGACAACAAATGTCCTTTTCAAGTGATTTTATAACAATACATTTTCTGATATTGCTTTATATGTTAAGATTTAGTTGGGGAAAATTGTGTACACATAGAGGCCTACCTCAGGCAGATTCTCAATGGATTAAAAAACAGTTCTGCTTCAGAGTAAAGTAGAAAAAAATAAGCTAAACTAGGTCTTTCCATCCTAAAAATATCATGAATAATAAAACCTCTAAATCTGTCATAGATGGTCAAAATTATGGAAGTATACCATGAATTTGTTCTATTACTTAATATATGAAACAATTTTTATTAATTTCTTTTCTCACTGAACAAATTTATAAAAGGATTTATTAAGAATATGTTTTAAAAGTATAAAGTTTTACAGACCAGTTGTACTTGATATTAGCTAGCAGTTAGACATTAATTTTAACATAGACCATGTGTAGGATCTGCTGGCCAGCAAACATTGACTAAATACCCGTCATGCAGCAGGTGTTGTTGTATTTGAAATGAATGAGACTTGGTTGCTGCTCTCAAGATCACAGATCATTTTCTGATCTTTGAGAAAGTTCTAATTTAAGTCTGTCTGAAAGTAATCCTAATTAATTTCAGACAGACTTTTCTGTTCCAGTATAGGAGCAATTTGCTCTAATTCACAGATCTTATTAAAATGGATTTTATCCAACAGCTCACAAATGCAACAATGGTTTCTCTCGTTCTGAGTGGCAGTAATATAGGTCACATATTAAAACTCTGAGTATGGAAGCAAAGAATTAAGGCTAAGCCTCTTTATCTTCCTTCAAATATGTCTGGCAATCTGTAACAGAGTATATTTCTGCCATATACATATAAAGCATGAAGTAAAAGAAAAAATGTTTATAAAAATATACATCCTGACAGCTTTTCTGCGTAGAATGTATACACACTATCCCTACAATGAAACATCACACTTAAATGACCACAGATTTGATATGGGCCCTACCAACGACCACTGGGTTGTGAAGAGCCAAGCGGGGAAAAAAACTTTGAAAAAAAACTTTGGTTCAGCGTTTCAGGAAAGTAAGTTGTGGTGATATTCTTTAGATTTTTTTTTTTTTTTAAATAAAGGGGTTATAAAAGATATATGGAATGTTAGGCATGAAAGAGAACAGAGCAAACAAATAAAAATCCATAGTTATTTAGGTTTAAACTAAAAGTGGCTATAGCGGTATTGATTGGGGGAGGGGGTGGGGACTAAATTGGATGTACTTTGATCCCAGGTAGTTTTTTAGTGAAAACACATTTTTTAAATAGGTTTTTATCCAAAATGATCATTTAAAGAGAAAGCAAATGTGCCATGTGTAATTATTTCAATACCTTTAAGTCACCTGAGTCATATTGTCACACTTAAGAAACACTGTGCCAATCTCAGATCTAGGTCTATGCAACAGGATATTAAGCATGCAGTATGACTAAGGTGGTGATGGTTCAGCTATGGATGAATTGGCCCTATGTCTGAGGTGCTAGCTACAGGTCAGGCAATCAGCAATCACAAGGATATCTGTACCAGATTTTCTAGTACCACCAAAAGTTGTGCAGTGGTGGTCCAGGCCTGCTAAATCGAGAAAGGTGAATGATGATTCAACAAAACCACCTGGGGACAGAATGTAAGACAATGATTTTTCAAAGCAAATTAAAAAAATAAAAGAGTTATTAGACTCACACAAATGAAAAAGAACTGACACACTATGTAAAATTCAAGGTGTATTGAATTTACAGTACAAAAATAAAACCTTCCTGTAAGTCCAAATTTCAGTATGATTTTTATGTCCATTCAAGAAGGAAACAGCTCAGACATCTGCTACTATTTCTAGCTTACTAAACCTGCACATTTTCTTACAGAGCATTAGTGTTGCAAATACGTTAGGGTCAGGATATATAAGCTCATAGTATTGATTTTGATCAGTCAATAGAACTGGTTCTTCCACAGAAAAAGATAAAACTGGTTAACTTATTCCATAATCTTGAAACTTTTATGCCAATGAATGACTACAATAACAGTGTTGAAACTAGCATGTTTATTTAGAAATATCGCATAGATTGCTCTCTTTAAGGAATTTCTAACACATAAGAGGCCTGTGTTAAAGGAAAGCGAGAACCTTATCTTCTTACCTCCATCACCCTCTTATCCTCAAATGGTAGAAGCATCACTTAATTGTAGTTTAATAATTTCGGTAGGATTTTTGTTTTGGAAACATAGATTTAGAAAAAAGATGGGAAATGCATTTTGCTTCTAGGAAAAAAAAAAAGACTGATTTTGAAAGTGGTTGCTGTTTACCTGCACTGTGGATGCCGGGGCTCCCATGGAGAGAGCCTCCCCACGACCACCGGTTATGCTTCTGCCTTGGCTTCTGGCTCCTTTCCATCGTACGCCGCACGACAGCTTCATGGCGTTCCTGAAACGGAAGAGAGGAGCTGATGATCACTTTCAGTTTGGCTGTTTGAAGTGTCTTCAACTTAGGACAGAGTGGAGTGAGGGGTACTAATTAAATTTCCACCCTACTACTCCTAATCTATTTCCTAACTTCTACACCTTATCTTAAGGTGGGAATATCAATCTGAGAGGGTTACTGAAATCATTAGGTCCCAGTTCATAAAACCTTGGGTGTACAATAGGCACTCAAATAAATGACCCTCACTATTGGAGTGTGATGCTTTCATCCACACACACAAGCACTGTAGTGCGGGTCTTAGCTTAAACTGATGCTGAACACGTATGGTACCATATTTAATTAAAAAATAAAGCTCAGAATCTGAGGATGTGGGTAATCCTGACCTGATGACTTATTGAGTTATATGACCTGGTATAACTTACCTGTTCTGAGTCTAAACTTCCATTTTTACAGAAACTAATACATATTTATAATACTTACTCAAGAGCTGGATAAGGGTTAAAGGAGATAATCTATGTGAAAATGTTTACAAATGGTAAAGCCCTATGGAAACCCAATTATTTGCAGTGGTCTTTATACTTCAATATAGATGAACTGAACATTAATAAGTCAGTCACAGGTTTAGACCAGAGAGCTGGGCTTTTAAAGTTTCTGTGGCAATAATAATCATCAGCCCATTGTCTACCTGACTCCCGTACTCCAAGCTCCCGAGAAACCGTGGCATCTGCAAAGCTGATGACTCTGACACTGTTTTGCTGTGCACCATGGCATCTGAACGGGCAGTCGCACAGGAAGTCTGCTGCACTTCCCAAGGAGAGCCCCATACCCTTCGCGGAGGGTGGCTCACCTTGTCCTCCTCGAGTCTCTGCCTCCGCTTCTCCTCCACAGCCGCCCTCCTCCGCTCCTCCTTCAGCCTCTGCTCCTCCAACCTCTTCTTCCGCTCTTCCAGGTGCTTTTCATAGTGCTGCCGGGCACGCTCTTCTCTTTCTAACCAGACTATTTCTCTTGCAGCTTTAGGGAGGAGAAAAAGCAGCAGATCAAACACAGGCAGGTTAAAACGTGAATAGTTAGGGCTGTATTGAGTGGTTCACGTTTAACAAAAACAGGTTCTTTGGTTTTACATTAACCAAGCATGGCCTTTGCTTTCCTCAAATTTCCAGGAAGAAAGTACTACTGTTAATTTTTAGCATAAGTTAATATGCTAACAATGAGCTTGAAGGAGATACACTGAATTCTACTCTTTGGGAATCCATATAGCATTCTGGTTTGGGGTGGGGAACCTGTGGCCTTGGGGCCACATGTGGCCTTCTGGATCCTTGAGTGGCCTTTTGACTGAATCCAAATTTTACAGAACAAATCCTTTTAATAAAGGGATTTGATATGTGAAGTTTGTATTCGGTCAAGGGGCTGCACTTAGGGATCATCAGAATAAGGCATAAATCACATGCTTTGGTCTCAATCCTTATATTGATATAGTGCCTTCAAAAATCAACAGTGCCACCTGTCCCTCTCTTTTTTTTTTCTCTCTCTTCTTTTTTTAGTTTCAAAAGACAGTTTGCCAATCATGTGCCTCTCTTTTTAAACAAGGTAATATCCTCCAGTCTATGATTACATGTCTTTGAATATAGCATTGGTTCTCTGTAGGTATTAAAAGGATTTGGATGAAAATAATTAGCTGATAAATGATGTATTAAGTGACTCACAAGTATATCACACTGAGTCAGCTAAGGCAGCAGTCCCCAACATTTTTGGCACCAGGGACCAGTTTCATGGAAGACAATTTTTCCATGGATGAGGGAGGGTGGGGGAAGGGGTGGTTTTAGGATGATTCAAGTGCATTACATTTATTATGCCGTCAAACCTCTCTGCTAATGATAATCTGTATTTGCAGTTGCTCCCCAGTGCCTAGCATCACTGCCTCAGCTCCACCTCAGATCATCAGGCATTAGATTGTTATAAGGGGTGTTCAACCTCACATGCACAGTTTACAGTAGGGTTTGAGTTCCCATGAGAATCTAATGCCTCCGCTGAGCTGACAGGAGGCAGAGCTCAGGCGGTGATGTGAGCAATGGGGAGCAGCTACAAATTCAGGTGAAGCTTCTCTGGCTTGCCCACTGCTCACCTCATACTGTGTGGCCTGGTTCCTAACAGACCACAGGCCGGTACCAGTCTGTGGCCCAGGAGGTTGGGGACTGCAGAGCTAAGACATGGGAGGGACCTAATAAGCAGGTGACCTTGTCTCTGAGGACCTCACAATCTAGTTAAGACTCAACCAATCAAAAGCTGGATGAAATATTGTTCAACAATGGGATATTTCTTTTCTTTTTTATATTATACAGGTTCCTTCCTCATTTTAGGGGAAAATATTCCCCACAGCAATGGACACGCTTGATGCTCTTACTCGAGGGGGTAGGGGGGCATGGACAATATATGTAACCTTAACACTTGTACCCCCATAATATGCTAAAAAAATTTTAAAAATGAAGAAAAAAATAAATAAAAAAAGAAAATATTCCCCACAAAGCTATTTTCTTTAGTATGATGCTTCCTTCAGCCTGATAACTAAAAACTTTGATGAGTTATTAACACTGTAGGCAAGTGTCCAAACAAAAATTAGAGTGCGGGCCGGGCGCTGTGGCTCACGCCTGTAATCCTAGCTCTTGGGAGGCCGAGGCGGGCGGATTGCTCAAGGTCAGGAGTTCAAAACCAGCCTGAGCAAGAGCGAGACCCCGTCTCTACTATAAACAGAAAGAAATTAATTGGCCAACTGATATATATATAAAAAAAAAATTAGCCGGGCATGGTGGCACATGCCTGTAGTCCCAGCTACTCGGGAGGCTGAGGCAGAAGGATCGCTTGAGCCCAGGAGTTTGAGGTTGCTGTGAGCTAGGCTGACGCCACGGCACTCACTCTAGCCTGGACAACAAAAGTGAGACTCTGTCTCAAAAAAAAAAAAAAAAAAAAAAAATTAGAGTGTAAATCTTGAGGACACTGCATGCTATAGAAATTAAAATGTTACTTTTTAAGAGAAAAAATAGAAATTCAGAGCATTTTAGTTTCCTCTACATGTTTAATATTAAAGACTCTGCATTTCCAACACTATTAAATCTTTCCAAAGTTAGTAATGTGAGGATACCAATCTACTGAAAGGGATCTGAACTGACTTTAGTGGAAAGAAAAGGATGAGGACAAATTCAAGATGAGCTTGTCCCTCTGACATCATTCAAGGTGGCGTGTGGAGAGAACTGGGATCAGTTCTCCCAGCAGCTCAGCCAACAGGTGCTGAGACCTTGCACGTGTCCATTTGGATTTCAGTTTCCTCTTGCCTAAAATGAGGACACTGGTTTTCAAGGTTCCTCCCAATTTTAAAAGCCCATTTTCCTAAAGAAATTCTCAGGCTCAAGTTAAATATTTACTTCAAGAAAAAACACATGGTATATGCTCAGTAAATATTTACTGAATGAAAAAAAAAAATAGACTCTCTTTGAACACACCTTAAAAGTTAACAGAGAACATAATTCTGATGCTTGATGATACATTTTGATTATACACATTCATGCGCATAATCAATACCTTTTGGATTTTCTGCATGGCAGGCATTAAATACATGTTTTAATTCATTTAAAAAGGTGGATTTACAGTAACAGATTTTGCCAAAGTTTAAACAGCACAAAATATTAAAAGGTAAAATGACCATTTCCTCTAACCTTAGACCCTCTTATTAATATATTCCACTTCCATCTTTTTGACAAATGTGCAATTTAGACCATGTATACTGTACCTAGTATACCTATTATTCTGCATTTGTTTTTCACTTAAATCTATTTTAGAGATCTTTCTATATCAACACATGAAACATGAATCTAATAATCTTTTTAATGTCTATATAGTATTCCACCATCTACTACCTTATTTTATATAACCAATAGGTTATCTAAGTCATTAGATAATCAATAATAGATAATCAACAGATTATCTAAGATAATCAATAGGTTATCTAAGTCATCTCTAGTAGTTTACTAATTCAGACCTTGAGCGACATCACTGTACTAACATATACCTCCATGCAGGTGTAAGCATATCTGTGAAGATGTAGAATAGCTGAATGAAAGGGACTATACATTTAAAATGTTGACAGATATTGTCATTCTGTCCTTTGTGGAGATCATAACAATTTATACAACTACCAACAAATGTTATGATGGTTATAGGCAGAAAAATGAAACAGATATGTACCCTGAGGCCTGCAGATATACAATATGATAAATCTTTAACTCTTAGCCTTGAAACTACATAGTCTTTTGAGTTTTATATCCCATTTTGAGGAAAATTTCAGACTGTCTGAGGACATTTATGAAGATTATATATTCCTTTCCTATAAAAGGTCCAGAAGCTAACAAGACAAAATAAGAAATAAAGATATTTATAAAATATTAAACTGGTATGATAAATTTGTGAAATAAGAATACACAGATTGATTTTTCTTAAATAATGTTCTCATCAGGCTTTTTTTTCTCATAAATATTCGAGATTCTATTTCTTCATTAAATTTAAACTTCCCTAATTTTCAAAGTCCTATTTGGCCTTAATGTCCTTATTTTGATTTCTTCCCCAATACTCTCCAAAAATAGCTTCTTCATTCTAAATAGTCCATTTTTCATATGCCTATTGGCCATTTGTATGTCTTCTCTTGAGAAATGTCTATTCAGATCATTTGCCCATTTTTAAAATTGTATTTATTTATTTATTTTTTTTTGCTATTGAGTTGAGCTCCTTATATGTTCTGGTCATTAATCCTTTGTTGGCTAGTTTGCAAATATTTTTCTCATATTCTGTAGGTTGGCTCTTCACTCTGTTGATTGTTTCTTTTGCTGTGAAGAAGCTTTTTTAGCTCAATGCAATCCCATTTGCCTCTTTTTGCTTTTGTTGACTATGCTTTTGAGGTTTACCCAAAAAAACTCTTTGCCTAGACCAATGTCCTGAAATATTTCTCCAATTTTTTTCTTCTAGCAGTTTCAGTTTCATGTCTTACATTTAAGTCTTTAATCCATTTTGAGTTGATTTTTGTATATGGTAAGAGAAGGGTCTAGCTTCATTTTCCTGTGTATGGATGTCCGGTTTTCCCAGCACCATTTATTGAAGAGACTTTCTTTTCTCCACTGTATGTTCTTGGCACCTTTGTTGAAGATAAGTTCACTATAGATGTGTGGATTTATTTCCGGGTTCTTTATTCTGTTCCATTGGTCTATGTGTCTGTTTTTATGCCAGTGCCAGGCTGCTTTGGTTACTACAGTTCTGTAGTATAATTTGAAGTCAAGTAATGTGATTCTTCCATGTTTCTTTTTATTGCCTATTGCTATGTCTAGTAATTTTTTTTTTTCCACTCTCCATAGTACCTTTCACAACTTGTACATATCCAAGGGTCTTAATAAATACTTTCTGGATTCACTGGGAACTACTTCCTGATTAATTCACCCATAACTGTATGGTCTTGGGCAAATTATTTAACCTCCCTATGTCTCAGTTCTGTCAGGGTAAGCTATAAGTTAAAACTTCCCCACAAAAGTAAAAACGTCTTCCTCATAGTTTTACTTTGAGAATTAAAAGAATAATTAGACTTAAGGTAGAACAGATTTTTATACTTGGTAAATCTTAGCTATTATTCACTCCTTTGTCATTATCATAATTTCAATTCAGAAAGTTAAAGGTAGTTCTTATGGCTGTGCTATAAATCATGACAGGGCCAGATATTAATATAATAATAATTAGTTTTACCCCAAATAATCTTCTGAAGGAAGAATGTTTCTTCATTCATCAAATTTATATTGAGTTCTGCTTCTCTTTTCTACCAGGAAGTACAGATCCTAATACAGTGTGTTCTTCATACAACTGTCTATAAACAGTCACACAGCAAATAGGCAAACAATGTTGAAATAGCAAACATTTCAACATCGTGGGGCCGGGTGTGGCGGCTCCAGCCTGTAATCCTAGCACTCTGGGAGGCTGAGGTG